TACCATATATCTTTTGTAGGGTTTCAATGACATATGGTACTGACTCAGGCAGTAGCAGGCGAATTTTTACCGATAGTAAAGCAGGTCCAATCTTTAAAGAATGTTGGGAATCGGATGCAGCCTTTTATGCGTTTGCAGCTTTAAAGCTGAAATATATTCAATGATAGTAATAATTAGCATGATTGTTATGACTTTATAAAGAAATGTGTCTTACATTCTAGCTTACACTCTCGTCTCTCCGATCTTCACAGCAGCAATCTTCCAATTCAAGAATTCTTCTTGCTACGCGATTGAACCACTCCAGCAAGTCGTCCGTCTATCGTTCCCATTCCACGAGTAACAGCAAATCACCTACGATACTTTAGAACTGCCTTACTGTTCAAATTTCACTGGTCAAGACTTTAAAATAGCTTGATTACTAATTAATTATATCCACTTTAGAAATCTTTCTTGATACGTAGTATTTTTTCCTTGTTCTTTCTCCGCTGCCCTTTGTCCACCGGCTGACAGCTGTCACTCCGTGTCATGAGCTCCCGGGACTCACCTCGAAGTTGTTCACGGTTGCCGTTCGTCGCACGGTGGGTTCGACAACAATTACAGTGAATTACCTTTGTTTTGATGTATTAACCTTATTTGTACGTCAATCCGTTACCGAGATACAGATGATTTTATTATTCCGGATTCTAAATGGACATCGATTTGCTTGGGACCGAAGATAGTACCAGAGCTGAGCCAAAAAGTTGGGCACGTTTCTTCTGAACCTTCTGGTCTTAGAATTATCTCTATGGTACCAGAGCTGAGTCAAAAAGTTGAGCACATTTCTTCGGGACCTTCTGGTCTTAGAGTTACCTCTATGCTGATACGTCCCTTCGAGAAAGTAATCGAGAAATATCGACTGGGTGCCTAGACGTAATCAAGATACGTAATTACAGGGGATTTCGCGAATTTCGCGGATTTCGCGATTTTCGCGGATTTGTCGCGGATTTCGCGATTTGCGCGGATTTGTCGCGGATTTGAACTTTCAGTCGCGAAAATCGCGGAAACATTAAATGATGCCGCGAAAATCGCGAAGGGACTGATGTAACCTTGTAACTGATTGTAACCTTTCCGTCCCGGATTATTTTGCTGTCATCAATTTTGTTGTTTATTTGGCTCTCAATTTTTAACCGGTTCAAACCAAACACCCTGCAAATAATCGAGAAATGATCTCAATTCCATAAGTCACACCGGATTTACACGGAAATTCCCTGAGGTATGTCCAATGTGAGACCTTTTCCTTTTTATACAATATGAACATAGCATTTTTCGTTGTCAAATCATAAACGAATCGTATATATGCGAATAATTTCCATTTATACCGGATATTCTAGGTTCTCCAAATCGTCCTGGAGTTCAGTTGATTTGTTCAACTATATCAACCAAGACTCTAATAATGTCTGTAGTATCAAAATATGACCAAACAGATTCAAAGTGTCTCTGTGGATTGTACCCGACTTATTGATGGTTATTCCGCGAGTCGAAGTGACTTTTGTCACTAGTGAAGTGAGAAAAGTCACGTCGTGGTGACGTGACTCTCCATTTGATTTGCACAGAGAGTCACGTTTCTCACTTCACTAGTGACAAATGTCACTTCGACTCTCGGAATAACCCCCATTGCTACGTATACAAGATGTTATAGGTTCTGAAATCATTCTGGAGATCATATTATTTTTCTACTAGATCACTCAAGACTAATTCAATATCTGTAGTATCGAAATATGCTGTTTGGGCAGTGTCTATGTGGATCATGCCAACCTATTTCCGTGTATGCCAAATGTTCTAGGATTTCCAAATCGATATTTTGATACTGCAGATATTATCCTAGTCTTTGTTGATCTAGTAAAAAAAATCATCTGAACTGCAGGACGATTTGGGGAACCTAGATCATCCGGTATACGTGGAAATAGTTAAACATTATCCATATAGACACTATGAATCTGTTGGGACATATTTCGATACTACAGACATTATCCCAGTTATGTTTGATCTAGTAGAATAAATCATCTTAACTCCAGAACGAATTGGAGAACTTAAAACATCTGGTCTACATGACAATAGTTCATGCATGATCCACATAGACACTGTGCATGTGTCTGGTAAGCCGGCGCCGGTGGTGTAATGGTAAGCGTGACTGCTTTCTTAACACCCCGATGGGTCTGGGTTCAATCCCAGCCGAGGTCGGTGGGATTTTTCTGAGGCATAAACATCTCTGGTCACGTCTTCCTTCGGAAGGGAAGTAAAGCCGTTGGTCCCGGCCCATGTGTGTTGAATGGGTGCGATATCCTACGCAGGTGTGGAAGGAAATAAAGGAAAGGATCTGTCTGGTTATATTTCGATACTAAAGACATTGTCCCAATCTCGGTTGCTACTAGATCAAATTATCTGAACTCCAGGACGATTTGAAGAACCTTGAAAATCTGGATTACTCGGAAATAGATCATGCATGATCCACATAGACACTTTGAATCTGATTGGACATTTTTCGATAATACAGACATTATTGCAGTCTTGATTAATCTAGTAGAACAAATCAACTGATGTCCTGGACGATTTCGAATACCTATAATTTCCGGTATACATAGTAATAAGTCGTGCATGATCCACAAAGTCATATATATACAATTCGGTTATGATTTAACAACAAAAAGTGCTAGGTTCACATTAGAAATAAATAAAAAATATGAAAATGTCTCACCATTGGACAAAACCCAAGGAATATCCGGGTAAATACACAACCGCGACGTGACCAACAAGTGTGACTTATGAAACTCTGGTAATTTCTCGATTATGTGCAGGGTGTTTGGTTTGAATCGGTAAAAAATTGAGAAAACCAGAACCAAATTATCTACAACATTTAGGACAGCAAAATACGTCAGAGACGCAAAGGTTAATTTTCCAGAAATTTTGCATTTCAAATGAAAATGCATTATTTTTTTTTAAATAATGTTTTATCAAATCTAGGCCGGTATTATTCAATAGAATCTCATAATGCAAGGGAGTTTTATTATGTTCACTAATTACTTATACTATACATGAATAACTGAAGATAATACAATGTCATTTAAAAAAAATCAAAGGTTACAAACGATACTCCTTTAGCTCAGTCGGTAAACGCACAGCTACAAAGCAAGTCCATGCTGGAGGCGACTGAGTTCGATTCCCGTCGGGTCTATTGATTTTTCGGGTTGTAAAATTTCTCTACTTTCTTGGGCATAGGATGGTACAGGCATAGAAAGCTCCCAATTAAAATGTGAAAGTACTTCAAAGAACACTAAGTTGAGAGCAGGCATAAATCTAATATGCTATAAGCAATAAGCTTGAAATGCTATGTAGTAGTATAAAAATGCTATTTTTAGGCAATTAAAACAGTTTTTTTTTGTCGCGGATTAGTATTTGAAGTCGCGGATTTCTTTTGAGAAATCGCGGATTTCGCGGATAAAATTTAGAAAATCTTGTAATAGCCCTGTAATTATTTTCTGCATACCATTTTGAGTGAAGCTGGTGAATCTCGATGGTTGTTTATTTTTATTTTCAGTGACAGTTCTAACAGCTAACACAAAATTTCCCACAGCTAACTCACAATTTCTTCTCCCTAACACAAACAAATACTCAAATCCATCCGTGCACTCGTCTATTGGTTGGCATAAAAGCTCTCAATTAATAACTGTGGAAGTGCTTCAACAAGAGTAGGTAGCTTGAAGGGCCACCCACATTAGATCCGACACGTTGGTTCAAAGGGACAGCTAAATCTATTGTCCAACTGTCAAATTTACATCAACGCATCTCAAACGGATCTAATCTGGTTGGCCCTTGAGAGCAGGCTTGTGTAACAGTGTCAAAACCAGAAAGACATTACTTCCATCGGTATATAATGCGTCACGAATGGTGAATCCCAGTCTTGGCATTAGGCTGATTCCTTGTAATGTCCTTTTTCGCACAACACTGAAACAACTACAAGCAACATCCGTAATTTACAGATTTAAAAACCTCGTAAATCTGGAGATTTGTGCTCTTGAAATCGCGAAGTGTGATAAGACAAAGAACTCTACAAGGAAACACTTTAAACTAATAGAGAATTTGTTTTTGATTCTGTTCCAACCTGGATTGGGTCGGATTGTTGTCTGTCAAAAGTCACTGTAAACGTTTGTTTATGTAACCTAGCTCGGGTTGAGGTCCGCATTGACAATAAACTCGGGTTCGCATGGGTTGGTTCTAACCTGGATAATAAACAAATTATAACACAAGACCAGCTTCTTCTCGAAGTAAGATTTCGTCTGAATCCGTTTTAATTGTCCCCGATTGCGATGATAGAACAAGCGATTGGAGGTTTTTCCCTTTGTAAGAATTCTTTGCACATCAGGCCAAGAAAGTTTGCGAGCAGGATTTGAGTTAAGTTGCCCAAAGACTTCAATCGTGCCATCTTCATTTAATCAAACTGGCCACCATCTGTTAGTCCGTACACATTGCGTCTGAATTAAACACATTCCGCCATATCCTGTTAAAATTCGGTTGCCCGTTGTTTACGAAAGAAATTTTAACCGGCCAAATCGGGTTCGATTTGTATACCACCACCACATTATGATCAGTACGCGAAAGACGTTATCTGAATCTACGTCTGCGGCTGGATCTGCGTCACATATCAAAGAAGATGATGGTGATGATGAAGCGGGCCAATAGATTTCGGTCATATGCATCCCCACATTCGCGCACGATTCGATTGGTACAGTTTTTTTTTGGACAACTTGGAACATATAGCTAATTGATGGATGTTGACAGAGCTAGCTGAGAAGAGAATCAACTTGCAGTGCAGCGATTCGTTCAATCACCAATAAATGAATTAAGCAAAGCGCCCCGGCGCTTAACAATCATCATCATGCGTGCCACCGTCATCAATGTACAGAAACGGTCAATTAATTTCTGTTTCTCCCTTTCTTTCTCTCTTCTTTCATGTTCGCTTGCAGGTTCTTATCAAAAATATGCTATACGGAACGTCAGACGCAGAACCACAGACGGAAATTGTGGTGTCCCAGTTAGCACAGGAATTGTATAACAGTAATCTGCTCTTGCTACTGATACAGGTAGGTGCACACCCCGCGGGGTTCGAGATTGATCAATTTGAGTGGCTATTTCTGATTTCGTTTGTCCCATCACGCGATAACACGTAGAATCTGAGCCGTATCGACTTCGAGGGCAAGAAAGACGTCGCACAGGTGTTCAACAATGTACTCAGACGACAGATCGGCACGCGATCTCCTACCGTGGAGTACATCTGCACAAAGCCCGAAATCCTGTTCACATTAATGGCGGGGTAAGTGCCTCTGACGCGATTTGATAGCTGGTATTAATGTGTTTGCTTTTTAGCTACGAACACCAGGAAATTGCACTAAACTGTGGTACCATGCTGCGGGAGTGTGCCCGGTACGAGGCGCTCGCCAAGATTATGCTTCATTCGGACGAGTTCTTCAACTTTTTCCGTTACGTCGAGGTGTCCACGTTCGACATCGCCTCCGATGCCTTCTCGACGTTCAAGGAGCTGTTGACGCGACACAAAATCTTGTGCGCCGAGTTTCTGGAACAGAACTACGACAAGGTGTTTGACCACTACCAGCATCTGCTCAACTCAGAGAACTACGTCACCCGGAGGCAAAGCTTGAAACTGCTCGGCGAGTTGCTGCTGGATCGACACAATTTCACGGTTAGTACGGATGGTTGTGCTTCCCCAATGGTCATTGTTCGTTGATTGATGCTATCCTTTCAACAGGTAATGACGAAATACATCTCCAATCCAGACAACCTAAAGCTGATGATGAATATGCTGAAAGAAAAATCGCGGAATATTCAGTTTGAAGCGTTTCACGTGTTTAAGGTAAGTCGTTGATGCAAACAATTAGTCCTTATTCTAGATGCTAAATCTATGTTTCAGGTATTTGTAGCGAATCCGAACAAACCGAAACCGATCCTCGATATCCTGCTCCGGAATCAGGAGAAGCTAGTAGATTTCCTAACGAAATTCCACACGGACCGATCCGAGGATGAGCAGTTCAACGACGAAAAGGCGTACCTAATCAAGCAGATAAAGGAGCTGAAGCCGGCTCCCGATCAATAGTAATACGCGCGATGCAAGCTTTAGGACTTTGCAGTTTACAAACAAACACACACACACACACACACACACGCGCATACACTCACACAGAACCTCCTTCCCTTGCAAGCCTTCCCCATCCTGTATCCCGCCTGTCTCCGCGCCCCGTGCACTAGTATTTTGTAATGAACGCGAGTAATAAAAGAAATATTATAAATACAATTAAACTTTAGCATAACTATGATAAATTTAACTACCATAGAGGTTATAAATAAATTTTTGGGTAAAACACTCAACCCCCTAAAAACAAACAAACACACACACACACACACACACACTTGTATAAGCTGATAATAAACAACAAAAGAAAAGCTAGTAAGTCGAAAGAAGTTAAAAACTCTAGTGTTTAGGAAAAAAAAAAAAACAAAGCAAAAACCTTGTATAACCTTAGCCCAGCAGGTGGAAAACAAACAAAAAACTACATTACACAGAGAGTAATATATTTATTAAGACTAAACGAACGTTTTCGCGGCTGCTAAGAATACCGATTAATTGCAAATGTTGTAAACAAACAAAAAAACTAGTACCCGAAGGAAGCGGCAGTTTCTGTTTCTCCTGCACGTGTTTAGTCTGAAAGCTGCATAACTTTAACTGTGAGGATTCTTATAGAATGGATTACCAAGGATGAAGAATAATGGAGAGAAAAAAAAACATTGATTGTATTTACTTTTTACGTTGTTCGTTTATTTTCAAATGCCTATTTGTTTGCTGTTGTGTAGAACTTTGGTTACTCACTTGCTCTGAGTGAGAAAGGAAAAAGAGAGATAGAGGCAAGGCACTAAGGAGGACAAACGGCTCTGAAGTATGTTTTAGTGTTAATGCTACTTTTAAGTTTGTGGTTCTAGCCTGTGCCCTGTTTATTATTTTTTATGTTGTTGTCTGAGTGCAGATGATGTGTAATGAAAAATATAAAGTCTTTGATTATTTTAATAGCAAATAGGATTTCCTATTATCCGTAGAACGTGAAACATAGGCCATGTACATTTCGTTAATGTTGACGACCATTTAGCCACACATACATGCATACACATTTACTGCCGGTGGACGCTTAATTGTTCCATGTTCTATGGAATTTCCTGTACAATTATGTTACAATTATGCGTCCACCGGTAGTTTAGCACACATACACTCTTCGCTGAAACACCTTCATACCTCATTAGTAGTCCCCTGGAAAGGTACGACGAGCAAACAATAAAAAAAAACATTCTCCCATTCAAACAAGAGTAGTATCAAATCCATCACAGCTATTAAGCGATTAGGTTTTAGAAGTGCTAAAGAAAATATTAGACAAAAGCTGTTTTGTTTGCTTTTTATTTTCATTTTTGAGACTTAAACTAGTGAGGTAGCGGACATTTTAATCCTCACACATAAAAACAGGTTAGGATCGGAATGTCCTCTACCAAACTGGATATCCGTTCAACACGTTGAGACACATGATGCTACAAGTCAATGAATAACAATTCTGAAAACTGTTCCTAATACGAGAAGAAAGTTAAATGTCTAACAGTGGTAGCTCTACACACAACTCACGCGCATGCATCAATAGTAAAACAAAATGTCGTTATAAAAAACATGTACACACAGAAAGGGAGCTGGCAAAATGCAATACAGAAAAAAAAGTGGATCGTTTCGTTAAATGTACTGAGTAGCAATTGTGGATTGTGGAATAAATATTCTTCCTTAGATTACGTACCTATAATTTTTCTTTTCGGCTTAAATTGGTTGACGTTGGCTATTATTTTCGATTCTACTGCCGATTCTCCCGTCGTCCCCTTGCCTGTGCGAAAACAAACTGCGGCTCATACGCCAATACACGCAGCAGATAGCAAAAATTGTATGTTGTTTACTAGACTACACGAATATATCTACCCCCCCCCCCCCCCCCCCAAGCCAAGCCAAGAGGATAGGAAAATATAACAATATGCGCAGAAGGCAAATCAGAAGTGAATTACTAAAATAGTATTTAAGGTGACTCTTTAGTGTATCATCTCAAAAACAGCGAACGAGCGAAAACAAAACAAAAAATCAAGGAACTGAAAACGAAAAGGCACGAGAATAAAGACACACACACACACACAAACACAAAACCGAGAAAGCCTTTTGAGGAGATTGGTGTTTGTTGTTGGAATTCTTCGAAAAGAGACCCAAATCCGCTCGGGGACTTTTGACGGGGGTCTTGTCTAACTTGGATTTCTATTTTAAGGTCAATGTTATGTTTATGCACCACCATAATCATTTCAGTAACGGCAGTCATGAAAATTTCCTTAGAGTTTCCTCAAAGGATTATTCGCTTGAAAATTGCTCCATAACTTTAGGAATTTGCTGCGGAATATCGCAGGGATTCTTTCCACAAAACTCTTGTAATTTACTGAACAATTAGCTTCCAAATAGTTGTCGCTAGAATTCGCTTACATTTCGTTCTATAATTCTTATTAAAATATTCTCAAAATTTTCTTGGGTATCCTTCAGTAGTACTCTAGAAATCTGCTCTGAATTTCGTTCGTCTTTCGCTAATGTTGGACTTCTCTAATTTACTAAGAACAAAAAAAAGCTAAGAATTTATCTCAGAATTCCCTTGGAATACTCATAAAAATTAATTGGAATCATCGTCAAAATTCCCTTGGAACTTTTTCAAGATTTTAAGACTTTTCGTGAATTCCACATTTTGAACGGCACCAGTTTTTTTTTTTTTTTAGAAATCGTGAACATGTAAAATACAAAATTCCTGGTTATTCTAACGTACTCACCTTTGAAAGCTAGTCTGAAATTGATGTGTATTGTCGTTCAAGTTGGACACCCGACACGCGACATTCGATTTTACCCTCGTTCTGTACGTTAAACATAACGTCGGACATAGTGCGCTGAATAGCGCATCATTGTGCGAATACAGCGCACTATGTCCGACGTTATGTTTCAAGAGCAAATTTTCATTACGTCGAATGTAACAAAGGTAAACAAAGTCGAGCTATCAGTGTCAATCGATTCTCCTGCTATTACACTATATACTGTCCGAATATAGGATCAAATCCCATGTAGGATGCCAGTGGACTGTATGCTCATAACTTTCCTCGGGTGGTGATTTTTCGGATAGGTGCCCGCTCCCCCTGTGGGATTGGGCCACGGATGGACAACGCCGATGGTTGCCTTCTCGGTGGAGGCAGGTCTGGTGACTGGCTGCCTCGGAAGCTTCACGCTTCCTCTCTGGGATGCCTCGCAAGGCTGGCGGAACGATGGATCTCCAAGGTGGCCACGGTTGGCCGGAAAATTCAAAAACATAAACTCTTATTGGCTCTGAAAAGAGCCGGTTGGTTGTGGTCGTGGCAAATGGAAAGGGAGCAAGTATCGGAGCAGAACATATAGGCACACACACTTCTTTACTTGTTCATGTTGTTGTTATTTCACTTTTTTCTACATTGATTTCTCTTCGTTTCTTCACACTAACACTAGTACGTCGTCCGGGAATCGGGCCCTGCCGATTGGAACCGAACGACGATGACTGCTGCTGCTATTGTTGCTATTTGCTGCGCCGCGCCAAGCTGTCGCCGACCGACTGCTACTGCTCGGGTCAGGTCGATTTCGCGGCCGACTGCTGCTGCTGCTGCTGGCGATTCGTTTTCTTCTTCGGGTTGTCTCTTCGGCTTGATGTGTACTCTTTCGTGACTTGCGTAAAACTGAGTAGCTGAGCGCACAGCAGCGCGTGTTTTTATATCTGCGTTGGTTCGGCTGCTGCGCTCTGATTGGTGGTCTTCGTGGCTGTCGCAAATTCCTCCTCTTCTTCAAATTTCAGCCCGCTGCCAGTGCACGGACTGAACATCCCATTTTTAAATTTATTTGCCAGTCAAATTGCTTTTTGATGTAATCACCTTCCTATCAAGATAGTTTTCGATGTTACTTAAGTCACCCAATTTCTATGGAGATGCCGTTTGACTTAAGTAACAGCGCTGAGAAACCCGTGAAAAGTGTACGTTCGTCGTTTCGCTTTCTCATTATTAAAGTGAATAAATCGAACTGTTTGTTGCTAAGATGATTTCGGTGGTCCTAAAATGATGAATGGGCTGCACATAAGGAGACGTAATTGATAATTCTCCCGAATAACCTGGTAAATACACTTGGACTTAAGTAACAATAGGGGCCACCAAACGACGTATAATAACTTTTGACTCAAAAACCAGTATTTTTTAGCATGAAAGCTAGCGATTTGCATTTGTATGATTAAAACCCTGCTAAATATGTTAAACATTGCTATCACTATGAGATTATATGTGTTTACTTGGAAATAGGAATAACTTTTCGGCCATCAAAACAAAACTTTATTTTTCTCGGATTGGTGCGAATGTTACTTACGACATAATGAAAATTTGCTCTTGGTTTACAGAACGAGAGTAAATTCAATTGGCGCGTGTGGGATTTTCCGGTTTTCAACTGAAACGATAATAGCTTGCCTAATAACAATGCCCATATTCCGACCAATATATAGATTGGTCATAAGAACCACGGTGTATTCAGAGAGCTGAGAATGATATTCCATTTGTATGGTGACGTAATTCCTATCTTTTTCTTAAGCAAACGCTAGAATGAACGAAGTCGATATTTTTATCTAATCTTTCATGCATTATTTAAGAAATGAGCATTTGACTGAACAAAATTAAGTGATTTTATGTGTCTTCAACGTTATTCCACTTCACACTATTAAATGATAGCCACGACCAGGCGTGGAAAATCATTTGCATTCATTTCGTGCATTCATTTACATTCATTTGCCTCTAACTTTTTTCTTGAACAGCATTCCGCATATTGATATATAAAGCTTTTGTAGGTTTTGTTACTAGCTACAACTTTTGTTAACAAGTCTAATTCGTATATCTTATGCACGACGAACCAGAGCGAACAGAAGCCACTACTGTTTTTCAGTGAATAAATTTTACATTCACTGAAGAACAGTAACAAGTTCTGCCCGCTCTAGTTCGTGATGCATAAGAGATACAGATTTTAATTGTAAGTTGTAGCTAATAACAAAACCTACGAAAGCTCTATATATTATTTTGCGGAATTCTGTTGATGAAAAAAGTTAGAGGCAAATGAATGTATGAAATGAATGCAAATGATTTTCCATGCCTGGCCACGACGTCATTAATCGACACTTGATGTTTACGTTCGAGAGCATATTACCAACCGGTGGAAACGAACGATTTTAAATTGGCTCACTTCTTGACTAGCCTATTGGTCCCAAGCGAATAGATGAACATGGGTACTAGTCGAAATTCTAGTACTACACTATGTTTGTTTTGATTCGCTATGAAAGTTTGACAGATAAAATGAGGGGTTCGTGGATTTTCCTATGTTTGGAGGGGTGCATCGATTAGCTTGGGACCGAAGAGAGTACCAGAGCTGAGCCAAAAAGCTGAGCACGCTTCTTCGGGACCTTCTAAACCTTCTAGAAACATAGGAAAAACCAATAACCCCTCATTTTACCTGTCAAACTTTCATAGCGAATCAAAACAAACATTGCGTAGTACTAGAATTTCGACTAGAATGGGATACGGTATTCGTTTGCTTGGGACCAATAGGCTAGTCAAGTAGTGAGCCAATTTAAAATCGTTAGTTTCGTATTGATTGTTGGTACTACCATAGAGGTAACTCTAAGACTAGAAGGTCCCGAAATAACGTGCTCAACTTTTTGGCTCAGCTCTGGTACTCTCTTCGGTCCCAAGCTAATCGACTTACCCCTCGAAACATAGGAAAAACGAATAACCCCTCATTTCATCTGTCAAACTTTCATAGCGAATCAAAACAAACATTGCGTAGTACTAGAATTTCGACTAGAATGGGATACGTTAATCGTTTGCTTGGGACCAATAGGCTAGTCAAGTAGTGAGCTAATTTAAAATCGTTAGTTTCGTATTGATTGTTGGTACTACTATACCAACCGGTGAACACTCGTGTTTATTTCAGTTACCGTGTGGACGTAATTTGTGATGAGCCCCGGTCCCTTTCAAATTGTATCATTATTTATGTACGGTCCATATATTTGAAATGACGTTTCACATTCATCTAGTGATGGCCGATTTTCATTCGAATTATCGATTAATCGATTAACGAACCGAAAAGTAAAATATTTGCAATCGGTTATATCATGCCGATATAAGCATTAACTTCTCCAGAGGATCATCACCGATCGTTTCAAACATGTGCTGCACTCTCATTGGTGGAAAAATGGCAGCACAGCGAACAAAAAAAAATCGGTTAGTTGTTAATCGAGTAATTAAAAAATGGGACACCTCTGATTTTGGTGTGTTTGTTTTGATAAAAATGAGCGCAAAATTTCATCTCTACCGAGGGGGCAGCAAAACCATAAAATTACCTTGAATACGAGGGGTATTCAATGGATGAAAGGGACCGTGAAAGAGGACACTAAAATAGAAAGTTTTTCTTCCGACAGTTTCATCTTAGTATTCATCTTTGACTATACTCTGGTGTATTCGAGGTAAAAACGCTCCCCGCCATCGTGGAGTTGGTCTCCTACTTAGCGTCCAGGCAAGTGCTGCGCTCATCAAGTGGGAGCCTGTTAATGAGAGGATAATCGTTGCCAAATTTAGAACACTGCTTCGTAACCTTACCATAATCCAATGTTATGCGCCAACCGATGCTGCCGATATACAGGACAAGGAGAATTTATACAGTCAAGTGAATGCCGTCGTGGATAAGGTTCCAAAGGGTGACATCAAGATCTTCACTGACGACTTCAATGCGAAGATCGGCTCCGACAACACGGACTATGAGCGTGTCATAGGACGCCATGGTCTCGGCGAAATGAGCGAGAACGGTGAACTGTCTGAATTATGTGGCAATAACGACATGGTGATCGTGGGCTCGCTCTTCCCCCATCGGCAAGTGCACAAAGTCCCGTGATGGACATATCGAAAATCAGATCGACCACATCTGTATCAGCCGAAAATGGAGACGGAGCCTTCTTGATGTCCGGAATAAACGCAGCGCCGACATCGCGTCTGACTACCGCCTTCTAATCGGCGAAATCCGCCTGCGCATGGCGCGGATCCAGCGACGGGAGGAGAGACTCGGGCGGCGGTTCAACACACGCCGACTTGAAGACTCAGCAGTAAAAAGGTCTTTTGTTGAAGAACTTGAGACTCGAGCTGCGGACGTTCCAGAAGGTGGCAGCGTAGAAGAACAATGGACGGTCATCAAGAATGCCTTTATAGAAACAAGGGAGAACAACTTGGGTGAGCTACGCACCCAGAGGAAAGAGTGGATCACAGATGAAACCTGGCGGAAGATTGAGGAGCGTAGAGAAGTAAAAGTCGCGATAGAGCGGGCGAGAAACAGAGGAGCCAAGAACGAAGCCCGTCAACGGTACTCGGCTCTAGAGAAGGAAGTTAAGCGCTCTTACAGACGGGACAAGCGAGCGTGGATGAACTCCCTGGCCGACGAAGGGGAGAAAGCCGCAAACACTGGCGATATACGCCTCCTCTACGATATCTCACGACGCCTGAGTGGAGCAAGGATGAACCCGAGGATGCCAGTGAAGGACACGACTGGACAATTGCTTACCGACCCCACTGACCAGCTGAATCGCTGGTTTGAGCACTTCGAACAACTTCTTCAAGTTTCGACGGCCAACCAGCCATCAACATCTCGGCATGAGCCGCCTATGGTGCGGTGCATCACTCGCGTCAATTCCGTCAATTCTGTAATATCTGGGATACCGCGACTTTTCCGGCCGACTGGATGCAGGGCGTCTTAGTGAAGGTCCCAAAGAAGAGGGATCTGACTGTGTGCGACAATTGGCGAGGCATCATGTTACTGTGTATTGTTCTCAAAGTTCTGTGCAAAGTTATCCTGAATCGGATACAGGAGAAGATCGACGCGACTCTCCGACGGCAGCAGGCACGATTCCGTGCCGGAAGATCTTGTGTGGACCATATTGTCACGCTCCGCATCATCCTGGAGCAGGTCAATGAATTCCAAGAGTCCCTTTATTTGGTATTCATTGACTACAAAAAAGCTTTCGACCGTCTCAATCACGAGAAGGGGGGCGCCCTGAGACGCAAGGGAGTCCCGGATAAAATCGTCAACCTCATCGAAGCGCAGTATGAGGCTTTCACGTGCAGAGTTCTGCATAACGGAGCCTTGTCCGACCCTATCCGGGTAGTCGCTGGTGTGAGACAAGGATGTATACTATGACCGCTACTGTTTCTCATCGTAATCGACGAGATCATGGTAGGTGCAATTGACCCTGTACCGAACCGTGGGCTGCTTTGGCAGCCTATCACCATGGAGCATCTCAACGACTTCGATTTGGCTGATGATGTTGCTGTACTAGCACAACGGCGCTCTGATATGCAGAGTAAGCTCAATGACCTAGCCGAACGCTCCTCTGCGGCGGGTCTAACCATCAACGTCAACAAGACCAAATCGTTGGATATCAACACGGGTAACCCTTCCAACTTTACGGTAGCGGGCAAGCAGTGGAGAAGGTCGAAAGTTTCCAAAATCTTGGCTGCCTTTGCGAGTTTACGAAACGATCCAACCAGATAAGTCAACGCACCAAAATCCGAATTTTCAACTCGAACGTGAAATCTGTTGTTGTTATACGCCAGTGGTGTGTATCAGCGGAGGGCACTCAAAAGCTGCAGGTCTTCATAAACCGATGCCTGCGGTATATAATTCGTGCCTGGTGACCTCACAACTGGATCTCGAATGCCGAGCTCCATCGTCGATGTCATCAGAAGCCGATAGCAACAGAAATTCGAGAGCGAAAGTGGAGGTGGGTCGGCCACACACTTCGACGGGGCGGAAACGAAATCTGCAAGCAAACGCTGGATTAGAATCCAGCAGGACATCGCAGCAGAGGCAGACCCAGGGGCTCATGGCGGCGGAGCCTCAATAAGAAAATGAAGCAAGTCAAGGTCAAGGCAAAAGCGAGCAGCCGCCCAGGATGGAAGTCTTTCACGGCCCTTTGCACCGCTGGTGGTGCACAGGACCCTTAAGTAAGTAAGTATCGAACTGTTTACATGGTCATGGGGATGCAAAGAGGGAATCGTCGATGAGAATCTGGCAATGTTACTTAGGACCTAATCCATTGTTCCGCTTGAAATGTTCTTAGATCGTTCCGCCGCCATTAGACTCTACCATAGAGGTAACTCTAAGACCAGAAGGTCCCGAAGAAACGTGCTCAACTTTTTGGCTCAGCTCTGGTACTCTCTTCGGATACAAGCTAATCGATGCACCCCTCGAAACATAAGAAAATCAACGAACCCCTCATTTTATCTGTCAAACTTTCATAGCAAATCAAACAAACATAGCGTAGTACTAGAATTTCAACTAGAATGGGATACGTTAATCGATTTGCTTGGGACCAATAGGCTAGTCAAGCAGTGAGCCAATTTAAAATCGTTAGTTTCGTATTGATTGTTGACTCTACTGCAATGATTTGTTGGGTTCCAATCCAACATTTGATTGCAAAATACGTTTTCGCTCTTCCATTTCTTGAATTTCTATTGATTCCTGCTTTTGATGACAACCCTAATAAACTTGTTATGGTTATTTTACTTAACGGCATGTTCGGGGTATCATACAAACCATTTGTGGAATAGTTCTATCGTTAGGGTTATCGTTTGCTTATGGTATTTTTATTAGGGAAGCTGCACCAACCTTCGAATTCGATTGAGCATTTCTTTCAGTCTTGAAGACACAAAAAAAAATCATATTTTATTTTTATTTTAGTAACCTCAAGCATTGCAAATATCAAGCTTATTAAGTGCTATCAATGTTAAGAAAATACTAAATCGTAGTCTGAACGCACATTACACAAAAATACTACCAGCTTTTACTATTGCTATTTTTGAAACTTGCTCTTAACTTCATATTCAATATTGTACGTGAAACAGCTGTGTTAATTAATTTAGCAAATCTATAAGTACTAATACCAATACCCCAATACAACATGAAATTCCACAATTCGTCCAAAAACTCCAACCCTCCGAACCAAATCTAATTGATCGGATTCTTTGGGAACACCGATATATAGCTTATCTTCTGCTGCTTCTCCGATGCCGGCACAAACTTATTGCCGATTGTAATCACCTTGGGAATCTTCTTCTCCACAATCTTGTTCAAGTTGTTCTTAACATCGGCAGTATTGAGCAAGTTCTTAAATGTTAGCGCCTGCTTATCCCGTCCCTTCGTTTGTCTTCCCTCATTCGCCGGCTCAACCTGGACCATCTTGCCCTTCCTGTCCTTCCGGCGATAGTACAGCACCTCACCGGCCAGAGTAACCATGGCCAGTGCCAACCCCACCAGCGTCGCTATGAACACACCGCCTAAACTTTCCAACGTAATTCCCTCGCTGTCGTCCGTATTTGGACAAACTCCGCGCACCGAATTGTTCCAGAACTTTGCTGTCAACGATTCAAAGTACCGTTCCTTCTGCAGCTCCAAAATGTAGTAACTCAACTCATCCTGCAGGTGACTTCCCTGCTGAACCGCAATAGCATACGGCTGTTCGGCAAACACTTCTCCCACTTCGGTGAGATTGCAGTTCAGCGAGATCTCGTACTTAATCTCCGCCGAGTCATGAACAAAGGCAAAGTCCGCTTCCAATCCTTCGTTGACCCGCTGAAAGCCAACGTCGGCTGAGTCGACCGGATTAGCCGACTCGATCGCCGCCAGAATGTTTATGTACTGTTCCTTGATCGGGTAGTCCCAGACGCGGTACTGAGCCTGATCGTTTCCGCTAGATAGGGTTAGATTGCGCCACATCTGGTAAAGTACGTCTTCAGCATTTTTCATGTTCTTGAAGTAATCGTGAGTGTCGGAATTCTTCACGACCGTGTATTTGATACGACTTTGACGGGACAACTGTTCCAGAGATTGAACCGGAGTTTGCATACGTTCAACGGTGAGGAATGCAGCAAGATTGGCAGTAAACGTAGCCAGCATCAGTACGACAAACAACCAATAAGCGGCCACCAGGGTACGGGCGGAAAGGGCCTTCGGTGCTTCACCACCACCTTGCGGTGTAAACGAAGTCAGAGCGAACCAGAAGCTTTCCTTCAAGGTGAAGTCTCTAGAAATGATTGTAGGAGTTGATTAGACTTCGTATAAATCGGAGTTTACGAAGAACTTACCGACAGTCGTATGGATAGGCTTGCTTGTTGTTCTTAGCGCTGTACGGTGAGAATTTGTCCAGTAGCCACAGCATGACGGCCGTCGCAACGATCGCCAGCAGAATACTCAACCATACTTCAAGCCGCAACACGGTCATGAACTTGAACAGTGACGTTTCACGAACAGGCTTCCTCATCACTATCAGTATGCCGGTCTGTTCGAAATAGGGAGCTACGAAGTCAACGACCTCTTCTCTTTCGGCGGTCATCTTCATCGAAGCCATAGTGAAATCGATCTCGCCGACCACCAGATCGCCTATCAAACCATCCCAGTTACCTGCCTTGTTCCTCTTGCCGAAGCCTCCCTTCTGCGGCGATACCAGATCGTAGTCGAAGCTCATCACCTTGGACATCTGATGCAGGAAGTCTATACAATATCCTTCCCAGATAGGTTCCCCTTTATCGTTTAAAACTATCTCATTGGTAAGTGTATCACGTTTTCGGTAAGCCCACGGGATTGACTGTTAAATAAACACCAAATTAGTTCGTTAAACATGATCTAAAACTGCAATTTACCTCGGTAGTTCCAACACGAAAGTACCGCTTGGTTGGTTTGATTTTCTGTCCATCGAAGGGGACTACCGCACCTTTCTCAATGGCCCCCAGCTGGATAGCGGCAGAGCTGTCATCCTCCGTTGACGTCCATATTGACACGTTCAGATTGTAACGCAACATTCGACTTCCATCAGGCATCCAGAAACGGTCGTCCTTCCGAAGATCCCTCATAATGTCTGAAATATTGTTGGATCCACTTGCTTCAACAGCGCTACAATCTTCCTGACTTGTCAACGGCAACTGATTCTGTTGGACCTTTTCCAAAACCTTTGTCACAACGTTACCCAAGTGAACTTCCCATGGTTTGAATCCAGCGGGACATGCACAATCGCCATCCAAGTTCAACAGCTTACAACATGTACTCTTATCCAATATAAGCCGACTCATGGTCGAATACGAATCGTGATACTCAAATCCATCCGTGTCCGGTTCCAAGAAGAGCAAATTCCATTTATCCGGTTTCATAACCAGTCCACTGGCAAGTGCCTTCTTGAACAAGTCATTCATATCGGCCGTTTTAGCGATGATCGAGAAGAACGACGGATACGGACGGACGGCCTTGATTCTTTCGATCGACGTATCACTAAGGCGCTCGAATATGATCGTTCGCAGTTGGGACTCGGTGATCAGGAAGTAGATGGCCGTATCGGCCGCTGCTGTCGAATCGAATATGTAGACCACGTCGTTGGCACCGCGTGCCCGGAGATAGTTTTCCATCACTTTCAGGAACGTTTGCGTCGACACGTCGGCGTGAATGTACGGGATGTTGAAGTTGTCCGCGGCGGTCATGATCCGGTTGGTGTCGGTCCAGGTGAAGTCCAGGAGGATGGTGACACCCTGCTTCATGGCGGAGCATACTGAAATATTGTCATTTATTTTTATTCGTTAGTAGTGGTTGATGGTTTGAGGTTGCACGAAAATGTTACGTTCATCGTTGTCGGTGAAGATGACATGCTCTCGATTGTAGACTATGTAGTAGTCGTATATCGATATGCCCTTGGTATTGGCCAGGAAGGAACGGATGGCTTGCGATGTAAGTGCCGGTACTTCCGGTTGTTCCTGTTCGTGTACGATGACTGGTGGAGAATGGAGAAAAGAGATTCATCTTTAGGTTCAGTTCGTTAAATTTTGTTTGATAAAGTATAATATAACCATGTGAACAGAGTAAGCTCTGCTCGCGAATGGTTGGTTTTGTTTTCGGCGTCGCTGATTTCGTGTGTTTTCCGCGTATTTAGTAAAGCAATTCTGTGCAAATGAAAAACTCCGCGTGTGATTGTGTACATTGGCGTAATCAAGGGGAGGCCTGGCTCCCCCAGACCTGGAGCTGGCCCACCCCAGCTAATTTAAGAAATAACCAGAGCAATCTATTTTTGTATTGCATGGAGGAGTTGCGATATTTTCCAGATAATCTAGAATAAACTCTTCTGTGGCTTTGAATTTCTCAATTAATTGCCTATTCCCGGCTGATGATTTGCCTCGAATTGGCCTTCATATTTAATCTATACAGAGCTGGGAAAAGGGCCTATCTGCTTTGATCGATTCTCTTCTTCGACTTTCTCTTTCGTTAATAACTCAGCTGCAACAACATTCCCTGTTGTATTTGACGATATGGACGATAGATAAAACCCTCCTTTATCAATCTATGTGGCAAAATTAGCACGAAAATTGTTTGGATAGCCGTGGTTATCAAAAGAGAAAGTCGATTAAGAGAATCGATCAAAGCAGATAGACCCCTTTTTCCAGCTCTGTATAGTTTTATTCACTTTTTTGCTACACGAAAACGTCTCATATAAAGGTTGAATCTCTTCATTCGTTTTGAAGATGTGTCTTATTTTGAAAACATTTGCAATTATGTGAAGAAGTATTCTGGATTTTTAGTATGATACTGAATAAACCTTTTCATTTTCTTTGACTTTGAAAATATCCAGATAACTTTATTGAAATCATATTGAGAATCCATGGATATCAACTAAGTTCTTTAAAACTTATATGAAAGTTCCCAACTAACAATTCAAAGTCACAAATAAGCAAGCACATTGAATAAATGCTGTATAACAGTGTACAATGCTGAATAAAACAGGATGTCGAATTATGTGCTGAAAAAAGCTCATTGAGATCGATAGATGTGCTTTTATTCCGCCGTTTGCTCTGATATGATTCATTTCCTTATTAAAAGCTTTATAAACGTTGACTGTCTTCCTTATTCAGAACCAGAAGGTTGATCTAATAACAAACTGAATAAGTGTAATTTGCACATACATTGTCGCTTTTATTCGACTGTTTTCAATTGATTGAATAAAATGCTTTATTAAACGTCTTATAAATGTTTTCTAACTCCATTATTAGATTTCATTGCATTGTTTTACAATATTGCTGTATAAAGGTGAATACACTCAGCAAAATAGCTCTTATACCACCCAAAAAACAATTCAAAGTCACAAGTAAGCATATATATTGAATAAATGCTGTATAACAGTGTACAATGCTGAATAAAAAGAGTTGTCGAATTATGTGCTGAAAAAGCTCATTGTTCCACTCTGATCTGATTAATTTACTTCCCAACAAACAATTCACAATCACAAATAAGCATACACATTGATTAAATTCTGTATAACAGTGTACAATGCTGAATAAAACAGGATGTCGAATTATGTGCTGAAAAAAGCTCATTGAGATCGATAGATGCGCCTTTATTCCGCCGTTTACTCTAATATGATTAATTTACTTATTAAAAGCTTTATAAACGTTGACTGTCTTCCTGATTCAGAACCAGAAGTTTGATCTAATAACAAACTGAATAAGTGTTATTTGCACATACATTGTCGCTTTAATTTGACTGTTTTCAATTGCTTTAATAAAATGCTTTATTAGACGTCTTAAAAATGTTTTCTAGCTCCATTATTAGATTTCATTGCATTGCTTAACAATATTGCTGAATAAAGGTGAATAAAGTCAGTATAATAGCTCTTATACCACTATGCGTCCATGTTTTAATTGCATGCTTTGTAAATGCTTTACAAACGGCGTATTCATTCATTATTCCACAACACTCTTTCAGGTTAACAACAAACCGAAATTGGTAGCATAGTGGTTACCGTTTCCGCTTTCCAAGTAGAAGGTCGTGAGTTCAATCCTAACCTCAACCCTTTTTTAATTTATTTTCTACGCCTAATTAATTTATATCGTAATCATAAATCGTATCACTCACGACAACCAATTCATAGATCTATCGAAAAGAATAGCATCCTTTCCATCGAAATTAGAGAGATGGAGAGGTAACGTTGGTCTCATGTAGAACAACTATGAATGAATTATTCATTCTCACATCTCCTTGAATTAGCTAGAGTTACGGCTGGAAGTGCTGATAGGTTTTCAGATTCAAGCTTTTATTGCTTATTTAGCTGCCCATATGATGTAATCTAGGATAGCTCAGATGGCAACGCAAGCGGCTGGTGATCGGAAGGTCATGGTTCGAATCCCATATAACGACATGTGTGTGTGTATGTATGTATGTATGTAATAAATTTTCTATATGTGTGATGGGTGGTGCGTGCTTCGACAGAAATAAATGACACAACAATCACTAACGAGAACACAACAACCCTGCTCTTCTGTGCCGTTTTTATTTTCGGATTAATTATCCCGTAGTTGAATAATCGTTTAATTAAATGTATAATGTGTCTTATTAAACATTATTTCACATGAGAATCAAGCGTCTATATACACCTTTATACCATCGCTGTTTAAGGAAGGAATGATGTCTAATAAACGCTGAATAATCAAAAATTTGATCGAATAAGCTCTGTACAACTCTTGTAAGTCGAATAAAAGCTTCTCGACATACCTTATTCAACACCAAATATTTCGATGTTGTGGTTGAATAAATTCTCCAGATTTGTGTGAATAAAGCCTGATCACAAGTTATTATTAAAAATAGTACAAGTATTATTAAGCATGAAGTGGAATAAAATCGTCAAGAAGTCGTTTCTTCAATAGGCAATTGTTTGTTGGGTTCCTGTACTTCTACAAAATTTCTTGAATTCAATTCCATCAAATAAAGCTCCCTGAACTTCTTCCGAATAAATTTAACTTATCCCTTAGCCTTTATGAAGTTCACTAAGTTTGTGGAAAGTTCTGGGAATCGCTTAAAAGTTCTGTCCACTTCTACGAAGTTTTCTGAACTTATACGATTTTTTTACAGCTTGCTCATGCCCATTTTTTCAATAGCTGTATCTTTGTTGGATTTTGGGTATTTCCTCGGGTATTTTCCAATCATTTCGGCCACACATTCGTAATGCAAAAAGAAATTCAAGCTGAGGTTGTTGCATCATAGAGATCACTGATGATGGTCAAACGTGTTGCTTGGAACAAACGTGTTGCTTGGATCTCTATATAGGTATCTACAAAACTCCCCGAAGTTTTTGAAAATCCAGCCGATCTTCTATGATATTCCCTGAACTTCTACATAATTCCTTGCTCTTCAAAGAAGTTTTACGAAGTTGCTCGATTTTCAGTTTAACTTACTCAACTTGTACGAAGATTGCTGAACCACTATAAATTCGCTGCTCTTCTATGAAGCTTTCCGAACTTTTAAGAATTTCGTCTATTTTTTGTTCCATGAAGTTCTATATGAAAAATTAAGTTCTATGCAATTCCCTAAAGCATTCTAAATTAATTTTTAAACTGCTAAAGACCTAAGAAGGCCCTGAAAGTTTAATAGAGTTTCCTACAATAATACAAAGTTTTATCAACAATCAATACGAAACTAACGATTTTAAATTGGCTCACTACTTGACTAGCCTATTGGTCCCAAGCAAATCGATTAAGGTACCCCATTCTAGTCAAAATTCTAGTACTACACAATGTTTGTTTTGATTCGCTATGAATGTTTGACAGATAAAATGACGGGTTATTGGATTTTCCTATGTTTCGAGGGGTGAATCGATTAGCTTGGGACCGAAGAGAGTACCAGAGCTGAGCCAAAAAGTTGAGCACGTTTCTTCGGGACCTACTAGTCTTAGAGTTACCTCTATGGTTTTATTAACTTCATTTAAGTTTCCCAAACTTGTACATGTTCCCGAGGGGAAAGACTATATCTCTAGATTTTGTTTTGGTGTGATTAGCTGCGAGCACGCTGAGTAGATAGAAAGAAGATTGATGACGATTCTGAAGATTTCTTGCAAAAATATGATGCGCGATGCAAGTAAAGATTGTATTCGAAAAAAACACTTTCTTTTGTGTATAGCTGTGCATGGGTAAAAATTGATGACATTTTGAGTAAAACTAGTTTATAGCGTAATTTTTACATGTGCAAAATCTCGTCACAATCTGTCAAGTGGTTATCGAGATGGCTTCCAAGCCAGAAGTGCTTCGACAAAAAATTATGGGAGCGGTCGTAAAAATCCAGGCCAGTCCCACAGGTGGATCGCTAAACAGTTTGGAATCGATAATTCGACCGTATCCTGTGTGGTAAAATCGTTCAAAAAGATCCAAACGACCCAGCGGCGAGCTGGCAGCGGAAGGAAAGCAAAGACGACCGACCCCGTGAATGCAAGGAAGGTGAGGGATTACTTCAAGCGCAATCCGAACCTTTCGATTCGGGACGTGGCCAAGAAGGATAATTCTTCCGTCTACTTCGTCCAGCAGACAATGAAGCGAGTCGGACTTCATGTCTTCAAGGTAAGGACGGTGCCTAACCGGACCAATAAACAGAATACTGTGGCCAAATCCCGCGCCAGAAATCTGTATCGCGAGTGGTTGGTGAAGCCGAAATGCATCGTAATGGACGACGAGTCGTACATTAAAGCGGACGCCAAGAAGATCCTCGGCCTGGAGTTTTTCGTCGGCAAGATCGTCGGCCTGGATGTTCCGGAGAAGTTCCGGAAGAAGAAGGTCGACAAATTTTCCAAGAAGTACTTAGTGTGGCATGCGATCCGTGCGTGTGGCAAATTCAGCAAGCCGTACATAACGACCGGCATCATCAACGGCCAAATATCTAAAGAAGAATGCCTCCAGAAGCGCCTGCTGTCCTTCCTACGGTCCCACGAAGGTGACACTCTGTTTTGGCCGGATCTGGCATCGTGCCTTTACGCAGAACCGGTGATTGCCAAACTCGCTACACGCGTTCCGATATTCGTGAACAACAAATCACGAAAGCATGAACTGCTAGTTCGTTTGAATTCATGACTTAGTTCCCGTAAACGTGATCGAGTTAATAACATTTTCATGAAATAAATCCCAAATCCATGAACTTAAGTCACACCTGTTCAGCGCGACCATCGATTTCAAAACGCTGAAAAAAATGATGATTTCGTGATCCATGAACGCATAAGTGTGATTTTCGTTCCTGAAATCGTGAACTTGGATCACATGCAATGTTGCAGGTGTCATTTTCAGTTGTTGTTGAATTTATCCTTATAGAGTGCTCGGATCCATCGAGAACAGCGTCTCGATTATTATTGAGTGAGCTGAGCCGTATCATCAGAATGGTGGTCCGGCACAATGGCAGTGGCTGGTACATGTCATCATACTGGCCGTCCGCGAAGAAAAAGAATCCCCGAACGCAACCGGTGTTCTTGCTCCCGCCGCTCCGATGGAAGTGGAAGGTGGTGTTGATTTGATGAGCTGAAAACTCGACTGAAAGTGTGTTCATTCCATCGGCTGGACAGATACCTGCTGCCAGTTTGGGATGCGGGTAAAACCTGCATCAAGGCTTTCGTTGTTTTCATTCTACTTCCTCACTCCATTCAAAATATTGGTAATTATAATGAAGTTGACATTTTACAGTCCATGAACCATGTTCCCGTTTTCGAGAACAAGGTTCACGGTATCATGAACATAAAGGGTGTCCACGATGAAATTGCCACAAACAAAATTGATTCGCAAAATTCGAGTTTTCATCCGATTGCCATCAAATTTTGAGGGATTGAGAAATAACTATTAAACTTCATTTTACCATTTTACTCGTATTTTATTTACAGTCCATACGCAAATGCCCGCACCTTGGCCTTAACCCCGGCCATAAGATTCTGCACAACCTGTGAATCAACCGTTTTTTGCATGTAAACCCATACTTTCTTCAGTTCCTCGACTGTCTTCACTACCTTAGGTCGTTTAAGAAGGTGCTGCTTCATAATCGCCCAGTACTTCTCGATGGGGCGGAGCTCCGGAGTGTTGGGAGGGTTGAACATTTTCGGCACGAAATTGACCTTATTGTCCGCATACCACTTCAGCACGTCCTTGGAGTAGTGGCATGAGGCTAAATCCGGCCAGAAGATTGTTGGGACGTTGTGGGCCTTCAGGAGAGGAAGCAGCCGCTTCTGGAGGCACTCTTTTATGTACACCTGTCCGTTCATCGTGTCCTGGGTCACGAAAGGTGCACTCCGCTTCCCGCACGTGCAGATGGCTTGCCAAACCAGGAATTTCTTCGCAAATTTGGACATCTTCTGAGTGCGGACATGCTCCGGAACGCTGAACTTATCCTTGGCCGTGAAAAACAGGTTGCCGGGGATCTGTTTGAAGTCGGCCTTCACATATGTTTCGTCGTCCATGATGCAGCATTCAACTTTCGTCAGCATGTTGAGGTACAACTTCCTGGCACGGGTTTTGGCGAACTTGTTCTGCTTCTCGTCGCGATTAGGGGCCTTTTGTACCTTGAACGTTCAAAGCCCAGCCTTAGTTTTGGCCTTCTGGACAAAACTTCGGCTTAGGTGCAGCTTCTTAGCCACATCCCTAACGGAGGCGTTCGGATTTCGGTTGAAGGCCTCAACTACGCGGTTGTGATTTTTGGTGTTGTACGGAATACTTTTTCCTTCACTTCTGGGCTTCCGATCGGTGGTTAACCGTTCCTCGAACCGCTTAATCACTCGCGACACCGTGGAATTCGCAATTCCCAACGTTTTAGCGATGGAACGATGCGAGAGACCCTTGTTCTCGTGATGAATGCGCAAGATTTTATCACGCACGAGCTGTTCTTTCGACTCCATTTCCGCGAGTTTTGATCACAGGACTTTAAAACTTGCAGGATGTAAATAATGCACTATGAACTAAATCCATCCAAATTTTCATTAAATTCTACCCAACGGTTAAAAAGTTAGAGCAATTTCACAGTGTGGCAATTTCATCGTGGACACCCTTTAAATCACGTTTGCCAGAACTAGATCATGATTTTCCGAACAGAGTTCACGATTCTATGACTTTTGTTGCCTTTGCAGGCGTTACGTTTATTTTGTGGAACAATGTTCACGATTTCATGATTTTGATTCATGGTGTACTTTCGTAAACGAAAAATTTACTGGTTCCAAAAATCGGGACTTTCGGATCGGATTTTTTCCCGTGTAGAACTTCGCCCAATAGAAAAATTCTGTGCGATTATGAAAGGCAAGCTCCGGAAAACAGGGAAGGTCTTTAAAAACGACAAGGATTTGAAGAAAGAGTGGATGAAAGTGTGTTAGAAAGATGGCACAAGTGATGCACAGGGTTTGATGGGTTAAGTCCAAGTTACGGGCATTTGGCCTAGAAAAGGAGGTTGAATAAACCAACTTTGCAAAACCATAGCTAATGTGTGTTTATTTATTCCCTGGGAGTTTCTAAAATATCCGACTTGAAATGATTTTTTGTTTATAATTTTTTTTTTCAAGTACAAGTCTTTAGAGGCGAGAAATGAAAGAAGATTTTTCGAAGATTGATTTGCTAGTGTGAGATTTTTTGAGCATCTAGAATTGAGATTTAGTCGCATGTTCCACACTTTTACGAAGTAATCCAACAAAAAACCTAACCTCTCCGAATTTATATTAAATTTCAAGTACTCCTACGATTTCACTTGAACATCTCCAAAGCCACTAAACCCAAGTTACATTGTTAGTTTTATCACGGTTTTAAAGCATGCTACAAGTCTAACTTTAACAAGCTTCCCCAAATGTCTATAAAGTTTGATGAAGTTCTGATAATATCTGAACTCCTATTAAATTAATTGCCCATTGGTCTCCAGCACTTCTACGCAGGTCTTGAAGTTCTAAAAAGTATTCTATATGAACTTTTATTGATTTCTAAAAAGGTCCCTGAACATCTGTATAAACTTAGTTTAACAAATCTGAAAGAGTATACATCTATCGCCATCCGTGATATTTAATAGTAGTAGTGAAGACATTTTGTCGATCCTCCCATACTACCGATAGGTTATGTCTTGTCAGCTAGTCAGCAGCCCCCCTCCTAGCCCAAAATCCTGGTTCCGCCTAAGGTTGTGTGCGGTTGCAAAAAATGCGAAAAGTTTTTTTAGATTACCCCGACTGATCAAACCGGTGCCATTTCGGAGGCGGAATTTGATGAGATCTATCCGATTATAAATCCATGACTTTTTTCTAAATGCTACTAAATACGTGCTGGATTTCGAAACTTCACGTTTCGAAATCTGATAGTGTGTTTGCAATACCATTATCCATATGATAACGTTGTAAGATGTATGTGTCTTCCATTCATTAATTCATTCACTCCAGGTTCATAGTTTATGTTCTATTGAAAAAACCTCAAAAACCTGCCGGAAAAGGGGAAAATTTACGAAAATTCAGTTTAGGAGCATAGGGTGTCCCAGAAAGTATAAGCACACTTTCAACTCGCCGCCATTTCTAACCCGATAAAGTTTATCAGCTGTTCATCGATATATGTTTTTGTTTACTTATTGCTCAGCAAGTTTGTGTGCGCAAAGTGCATTTTTATAAAATCATCGAAATGCGAGGCATTTCCCCGGAAAAGCGCAAACAGATCGTGCACAACTGGTGCACTATTTCCAACCTATCAGTAAGAAAGTTGACGAAAATGGAAGAAGTATGTATCGGAGCAGTCCACACTGCCATCCGGAAGTTCGGTGAAGAAGTTATCTTCGAGGACACATCGAAATCTGGCCGTAAATTTTCGTCAATAAGAAAAGTGCCTCTGTTCGAGATTTGGTCAAAAAACTGAGAACATCGAAGAGTAACGTCCAACCTAGCGTCCAACGTGCCAAGGCAAGAAACAGACTGAACACGTTCAAAAATTAGAAGAAGCTGAAACGGAGTCAGAAACAAGCCGCATCCATCAAACCGAGGGCTCGGAAGCTATTTGATAGTTTGCTGTGTGGAAAATAGGCATGGATGATGAAACATACGTCAAATTTGACTACAAGACGCTTCCGGGAGACCACACAGGATAGTCAGGAACGAGGTCAGGAAGTTGGTCGATGCCGAAAAGTTAATTTTTACCGAAAAATTTGGTAAGAAGGCAATGGTTTTGCAAGCGATATGTGAGACAAAGGAGACGATCAACACAAAAAATTACATTCGGGGGTGTTTGAACCGGCGTCTGCGGCCCATGATGGCCCAGTACTATTTTTGGTCCGATTTGGTGTCAATGCACTACTCGAAAGACACGGTAGCTTGGTACAAAGCAAAGAAAGTGCAATACGTGCCAAAAGAGATGAATCCTCCGAATTGTCCGAAGGCCCGGTCAATCGAAACTTTTTGGGCCCTTTCCAAGGGATATCTACGGAAACACTTTAAGGCAGCGAATTCAGTCGAAGAATTTGAAAAAGACTGGACAAAAGTGTGCTGAAGCTCATGGGAAGCGTCAGATCACAAACGAAGTGACAGACGGAGCGGCTCGAAAACTTTGGTGACTAACCTGCTATTGCAATTTTTCAGTGTACCACATGGCAACACCACTACTACTGGATTGTACCACATGGCAACCCTACTACTGGACTGTACTAGCATTTTCACCAAATGTATTAGAATGTTTTGGTTCTATCTCTTTCACTCTACTCAAAACTGAAATGCATAAAAAATGACAAAATGAAACGCACTCTTTGCACACTGTCAAAGAATCATTGTACACAAAATCAACTTTGTTCAAATCAAAACAAAAAAACTAACCCATCTGGTGGATGATGGCACAAGCTTCCAAGAAAATTCTATTACAGTGAACCCACATTATTTAAATGGATTTCTTCGCCAGTAAGTCGTCTGTCACTTCGTTTGTGGTCAGATCAAAAGTTCGCTCCTTGGCACACGATTAAATGAACTGCGGATTATTTTCATTCAATTGAAAGATAATGCTTTATACCCCGTTCACATTACAGCCTATATCACGTAATATAGACTGTCTTGAAATGAGCACTCATACATAGGATTTCCAGTGAAAACTAGATGTATGAGTGCTCATAGCAAGACAGCGTATATCACGTGATATACGCTGTAATGTGAACGGGGTATTAGAGAATTTGAGTTCATTAACATAACGTTGTTTTATTCCAATAATAAACTGTGCTTATACTTTCTGGGACACCCTATAGTACCATTAAACTGAGTGTATCCAATCATTACTTTTCTCATATACGGGAATTTTTGAAAAACATAGAAAAACATCGCACCGCTGAGTTCCTGCACTTTTTGCGATTTATGAGTAAACTAAACTCAAATTTGGGTCGTTGTTCTTCGCCGTGTGCTATTGTAACTTATTTCTGACGGACCAGTAATCAATCAGTAGTGAACGTTTTAGTTGGGAATTGACTTAATAGTTGGCGCCAGAGTACCAATAAATGTGATCTTATTGTGATAACTCAGGATCAAGACTGGGTAGAAGTTTTTGGTCATCAGCAAAGTTGATTAAATGCTCGAGACCCGTTCAATAGTGAACAGTTTAGTTGGAAATTGACTCACTGGGTGGCGCCAGAATAGAAATAAGGTTCTTCATGTGAAAACTAAGGATCGAGGCTAGATATAAGTTGTCTGTCTTCAGTAAAGTTGTTCAAATAGACGAGGCCCATTGAGTAGTGAACTGTTTAGTCGGAAATGACCTCCTTAGGTGGCCTCAAAATAGAAATTCGGTAGAATCATTCTTGTACAGTTATTAATTATCTTTGAAATAGTTCCTTAACCCTTGCAGTTTACAGTTTTTTAATCAAATGTACCCTAATTTCAATTCTGAAAAATTACTGTTAAAAGAGAACGTTAAGAGATAGATATGATGAATTTCTCATCGTGGACCACTATGGAATGGCGAAGACTTCGCAGGTTTAAGTTCGCCTTAATATATTAACTATGGGGGTTATTCCGAGAGTCGAAGTGACTTTTGTCACTAGTGAAGTAAGAAAAGTCTCATCGTGGTGTCGTGACTCTCTGTGCAAATCAAATGGAGAGTCACGTGACCACGACGTGACTTTTCTCACTTCACTATAGTGACAAAAGTCACTTCAACTCTCGGAGTAACCCCCTATATGTTCCAATTTTCTTAGAATTCCGTGTTTGATGCTAGTCACCTATTCCAATCACCAAATTTCCGTCCCCGTCGAAAACTGTCGAACTATTTTGCGCTTTGGCACCGTCGTAAAAGAGAAGGAAATCCACAACCAGGCACTGAATTAGCAGCAATCTGTTCCTCTTAGATCGCATGGTTTCACTATTTGTAGAAAAACAACCTTTTTGTTCCGAAATCACAAAGCGTACTACCGTGGCAGAAACTAATGCCTGGCATATTTAAATTACTGTTTTCCTTATGCAACGGGTCATAAAACTACATGCACAGGTTGAGCATTGGGTAATGCATTTTTGAAGGAATGATGAAAATCGATGGATAAAGCAATTTTCCCGTTTACTCTAACGTAGCAAAGTGCATATCGAAGAACATACCAAATTATAATCGCGTAATCAGTGTCTATCATTAAGTAGCTTCTACCCTCGGTTGGGTTGAATGTTTTGAATATTTAATTCGGTGTGGTCGCACGCTTTCCAGGAACGCCCGCGAGTTCGAATTTACGCGGGCCTAAGCACCATGAGAAGGTTTTCGGAAAGCTAAATCAAATCGAACCATTAATCGTACGGTTTATATGTATTTCTATAACATTGTTTATTGTTAGACATTATACAGTAAACAGCTATTCTGTAGCGATTACCTAATCAGATTTTGAATATAATATCTTATCACACGATTGTTTACTATTTTATTTTTCATTATGAGAACTTAGCAAATGTTGTAAACGGATTGTTATGGGGTTCACTTAACGAAGCCTAAATGGTTCACAATATATTCTTTATCTTTCTTTGTTTTAATGAAGCGAGATGAATGCGCTTGCATGCTTTGTATTTGTGAGTGAGTCAGCGCAACTATTGGCTATTTGTATGTGTATTGTGTAAGTACTTGTAACGGAACGGAAAACTATGCAACTTACAACATGCTCCTTGAACTGGCCTCTCGTGCTTGTGTCGCTTTCCCTGTGTTCTATATATGGAATGATTTCAAGGACACTCATTTACAAACAACTAACGGTGGGATGCCACATTCTAGATGTCGATAATTTTCGACTTCCGATCCAACAGTTCAGCCTCTTTACCAATTTCAATAATGTTGTTGGTTTTTTCCGCCGTCACTTTGGCCGTTACGATCTGACTGCTGGGTGATAGTGGCGGTGGTGGGGAAGTTTTATTTCCGTTACTTTGACTCCGGTCGCTGTCGCTATAACTGCTGTCCTGTTCCGGATCGTCGTCGCAATCACTCGACTCGGGACACTGACCACCAATGTCGTCCTCGTCGTTGTTGTTGTTGCTGTTATTTTGAGCATTGCCGGATTGTGTGCTGTGGGATTGATTTTGATCGCCCGCTGCAGCCGCCATCGGAACCGGTGCCGTAATCGACGTCCACCAGGTGGAAAATGCCCCTTTAGCAGTACTGATGGCACCACCCACCGCTCGACTAGTAGTGTTGACTGCCTGATTCAGCTTGCGACCACTTTCGCTGTTTTGCATGGTTCTGGAAAACAAGAATAGTTGAGAAATTCGGTCAAAATGGAATCATGAGAATCCGGGACTTACTGTGCGATGCGCAGCTTCATATCGGCAACTGAAAGAGTTCCCGCAAACGGATGTCCCACGACCAAGGCTTCGAAAGCATGATTCGCTTCGCCACCGCTCCGTTCCAGCCAGTCTTGATAGCATTGAGTTCCCTTGAGGGCACTCATGAAATGTGCGTTGAAGTGCTCCAACTCTTTGCTTCCTTCTGCAATTGATAGAATTTTTAAGCTCCCGAAAACATATCAAAACCGACCTGCCCACCAACCTGGACAAAGCGAAGACTTGAGCAACGCCACCATATAACCATAGAATTGCTCCCGTATCCACACCTCGCTCCCTTCAGCATCCTCTTTCGGATTTTGCACGTTACGTATGATAAAATCGGCAAACCTCAGATCCTCCGTGCTCAACTGGGCCTGCCGTTTGAGATCCAGATCGTACACGTCAATCACTGCGTTTTCCACATCGATCATCACGTCCGCCAGTTGGCGCTTCTGCTGAAAGAGGACATTCGACGCCCCAATGATGTAGCCCTTCACCGATGGGTCCGTTAGTAGATCCATATATGGCAGCGATAGGTACGGTAGGCAAAGGTTTCCCTCATGGAAAATCTTCATCGGGGCCGCCCATTCCTCCGGCTTGATGGCGCACAGGCTGGAGAAGTTGGATGCAATCGTATCGACGCTGGTTTCACGAACCAGAGCAGGCCGTGCGCTAGTTGTACCATTTCGACCACCTATGGCCTCATCTTCCAGTGAGGTGGGTTGAGCATCATCCGAACAGGGTGTTATTTCACGAGTGGTGCTTGCACTCCCGGAATCGGTATCCTGCGAGTGTTGTTGCGGTTGTACGGTTACTTGAGCGGTTGACGAAGCTGACCCAGACGATTCGCCCTGCGTATCGTGATCAACTGTTGAGCACTCCTTGGTGGGTGAACTCTGTTCGGAGGGGAATTTTTTCGCCTCTTCCTGAGGCGTACCGAAATTAGGCATTGGTGACATGGGACGAGATGTTCTGTAATAGAGTAAAAATCCATGACATTTCATTCAATCGTTGAAAACAGACAAAGAGCCATACTTAACGCAAGCCACTTCCTGGAAACCTTTGGACAGTAGCTCAGGATGCAGTGAGACAACTCCCAAGATCAAAGCACACGTCGGTTGAACTGGAGATCCAAAACAGATAACACGTTTCTGCAGCATCAAAAGCTTATAAAGCATGAGTAATTTATGTCGCCATCTGAAATCATTCGAAAATTTGCTTATTAGGTATAGCAGTTCAGCCCGTAGCAGTGCCGCACAAACTTACTTCAATACCAGCTCCCTCAGAGGTAATCCAACGAAATGTAACCTAGCCGGAGCCAGCTCCAGCGGTTCCATCGAGTAAAGGCAAGCATTCTGCTGGTCGTACGCCTTGACCAATATATCGGTACAGGAGAAATCACCCTGCTCGAAAAAAGCGTGAGCAATCAGCGAAAGTTTTACCTCCACGTACCCATAGATCGGAATCGACAGCAGTGCACAGACCGCTTTCTGCACCGTACTCCGAGTCATGTCGGCCGTTCGAATTTTGAGCTTCTCAACTGGAATCTGCCGATAACAGCTGATCCCGTAGATAGACTCTTGCGGATCCGTAAGGCTGGGTAGATTGAAGCAAACAAAGTCCTTGCTAAAGTTATGAGATCCATCCGGAAGGGCCAGGGTCGGAAGATACTTCCAGCCCGATGGACATTCCTGTTTCCCCTCCGATCCGGCTATCAAGGGTGGATAGGAAAACTCCACCTAAAAAAAACGCACTCATTTTAGGCGTATTGTTTAACAAATGAATCATGCTACTTCTGCGACCCACGCAATACTCCCGACATTCGGCACTAACCTGACATCCTTTTTTGTGGTGGAATCCTACCACCAGAATGTGTAGGATGGGATTTTTGGTATCCATTGCTCCCACCTTTTTCCAAACCTCTTCACTATCCGCTTCAGTTCACTAATATTAACGCCGAACTGACAAACACTTTTTTCTTCCTACATCACAGCACGATTCTTTTTTCACGTTACAACAAACGCAAAATGCAATCGATTTTCTTTGCGATTTCGGTTTCCGATGTCCTTTCCAAGGATTTAAGTCGCCGCAGGAAATTCGCGATCACGCCAATAAATCAGCGTTCCACAGAAAGAAAACCGACACGATCAATACTGCCGTGAATAACTTTGCTTCCCACGATAAGGGCTGTTTTGAAGTGGGTGGACAGGATTTTTATGCTTTTAAAAATAAACTTTGAATAAAGAATGATGCAAATTTTTTGGCCCCCTCCAGCGAATGGCCTGATGTTGACAGACGGTTGGTGCTAGCCAACGCGGTGCGAACTTTGAAAACCGCTAGCATCATCTTCAACAGTGTGTAAACGCACGGTGGTTGACGAATACCCATTAATGGGTAAAAAAAAAACCTATTTCTGCTATAAAAGTGCCCCTTCTTATTTAATGGGTAACATTTAAATTTAATGTGCTCTATGTCCTAAAATGGGTTTTTGCCAATTTCCCTAAACTGGTTTTGCCGGAAAATGGGAACAAAAACAGTTTTTTTTATTGGAGGATGGAGGCGCTTGGTAATTCATCCTTGTTGATAAACTAAAACATTCCTAAAAATTAAAAACAAAATGCTGCTTTCCGACGAGTTTTTTTTTAAGAGTTCTAAACAAATTTATTTATTTATTTCGTCAACCAACGTAGACTAGTTCATATTAGAATACAGTTTTGTTTTCTTAAATTTATTTATTTATTTCGTCAACTTTGGACAAAAGGTTAAAAGTATATTTTTTTTCTTTATTAAAAATTAAGCAGTGTCTGCTTTCCTACTTTTTATGAGTTATAATGCCTTATGGAGTAAAAATATTGTTTTAGTTTATGCCGAGACATTGTAAAGTCAATGGTTTCGCAGTATTGATTGTAAAGGGCCACCCACATTAGATCCGTTCGCGTTGCGTTGACGTAAATTTGACAGTTAGACAATAGATTTAGCTGTCACTTTGCCGCAACGCGTCTGATCCGGATCTAATGTGCGTGGGCCTTAAGAGGCCATCATGCGGTTTAAAAGCCCATATTTTTCATAATTTGTGCGATGATGTTTTAAGGCAAATAAATGTCGATTTCGGAGTTCAGTCGCGCACGGAACCCATTTGGATACGGTTGTGTTTGTTCTCTGTTTTGTGCGTGCGTTCGCTTTCATAGTTTCGGTTGCATTTGCGGGCTTAGCGCTGGCACTCTGCCTCCCGGACGGTTATACGTGTGTGATTGGTGGTTTTCTCGCTCTTTGGGAAGTTTTAGAATCGAGAAAGAAAACGTGATTCATCATGTTTGCAAGCATCAGAAGATTTGGCGCTTTCTGCGATTTTTGATTTTTTTTTTCTCTCGTACCAGATATTTGTGGCATCGCGAGTGATAATGTTTTCAGTTTATGAACGCGCTGAAAGGTGCGTGAAAGTGCTTGGCACGATCGGTGTTGATGTTGGTTCACTTGCAACTATTTTTGCAAAAAAAAAAATAAAGTCTTTTTTGAAAGAAATTGATATCGAAAGTGTACCAAAAGTGCTTCTGAACGTGTTTCGCAGTTGGATGGTGAAATTCGCGGTTGTTTTCAGTGAAAATTCCGTATCACAAATTTTCTCACCGAGTTCCCTTTTTTTTTGCCGTCTGACGACATCGGGAATGCGCTCCCGGATATATTGATTTGGTGAGTACGTTCCAGTTGAGGATTGTTCTTGTACATTTCTCGATTGCATTTTCGAGGGGACGTGTCTGCTTTTGTGGGCAGTGCGTTTGATGGTCGGTTTGGTAGTATCCTCTTAAATATAATATCTCATGTCCAAATAACCTCGATTTTCGGTCTATTGATTCAATACTTCAGTATTATATTTTCAAAACATACAATTGTGCATTATGTCATTTCATGGCACATAAAACAAAAAGTGTGTGTATAGGACCCAATAATCTAGGTTATTTGTATTTTGTAAAACATCTTTATTTTTTATTATATTTTTCATTCTAGTGCCAACCGGAGTCTAGGAGGGAATGTGTACTGTCATTTTAGATAGTTACATTTCACTCCAACAGTTGCAATGAATTTGACGCGCTCTTCTTTAACAAACCATCCCGTGGAAAGCTTAACATGTATTGCGAATTTCGTTATTCAGTTGTCCCACAGCTGTCTACAGCAGCAGTCGAATTTTTATTTCGGTGTGAACCACGCGATAGCCTGTTTTTGAGATTCGCTATTATATAGTTGCTCTTTGTTCGTTGCTATCAGTTTGTGCCTTTTGTTGCTACGGTGCAAGATGTGTGAAGTAAAAAACACCATCAAGTTTAGCTTCAGCCATTATGATGCTAAACCAAACATCGGAGAGATTGTAAATTTCGCCAAAGCACTCGACGCGGATCCGGCTGAAATGGAAGCTGTTTATCGCATTGGTGAGGAAAGGGGAGTCTTCATAAAGTTCAAATCAGAGGAAGCGATGCTCCATGCTCTGACATACAATTCGGAGGATTTAATCTTCCATTATGCGAATGGAACGACGGCAAAGGTACGCATGTCGCATGCTGGTGAATTTATCCAGTATGTGCGTGTGTATGACTTGCCACCAGAGGTACCGGACAACGAGCTGGATAAAGTGCTGGGGAAATATGGAAAAATTAAACGCATCATCCGGGAGAAATTTCCATCTGATCTGTGCTTTGAGGTTTATACAGGGATACGCGGTATATATATGGATGTGAAGAAGGAAATCCCCACGTCATTGTATTTCTTCAACCGCAAAGGAAATATATTTTATGATGGCAACAAAGATAAATGTTTTCTGTGCAAGGCGGACGGACACCGGAAGCTTTCCTGTCCCAAGCGGAAGGCTCGGAAGGAACCGGAGAAGCAACTAAAGGAAAAAGGAAAGCAAAGTGAAAGAAAACAAAACAGCAGCAGTACGTATGCTGGTGTAGTGGTGGAAGGTGCGTCGTTTGTCATTAGCGACCAGGAAACGGACACGGGGTTGGAGATGTTGAAAGAAGATAACGAAATGGACGACACGACCCCGACGACCGACGAGAGTAGCGGAGAGCATGCAACGGGAAACGATGTTCAGATGCAGCAGCAGCGATCACGTTTCGGGTTCAACGAAAATGAGGAACAAATTCGTCAAAGAAAGAAGTTGCGTGCACGGGAGAAGATCGCTTTGTCGCCGCTTCGATCGCCACCCAGGAAAATCCTTTAATAATATGCATTTGTGTATCTTTTGTTTGTATTTTGAGTACCAAAATTGGTATTCCATGTTACTCGGCTCCGCTAAGTTATTCTTTTAACATTTGAGCCTGCCAAATAAACAAAATAAAAAAAAAAAATAAAAAATCGTTATTCATTTTGTTGGATCATATTGTTGGAAGGAGATTCTCTTATTCCCGCGGGTTTCGCGTAAGTGCCTCTGCTTACGGGCCCGTCCAACCCTTTTTGGCCCTTCATACAGCAGTATGTTGAATTCAGAATGATGACGGAATTTGATCTTGCTGTTGAGTGGAGCCGCATGCAGGGCAAGACCCAAGCTAGGATGGTGGCTACACACAAAAAAAAGTCATTACTACAATCAAAAAGATCGTTGCTAAAATTAAAAGTTTGCATTGGTTCTTTTTGGTAGAAAGCGGTTCACTTTTAAAATGAAAGTCAGCCAACTTTCACATTAAGAGTTGCCCGTTTACTACTTTTAAAAGTTTAAAATTTCAAAATAAATTGTACAACTGTCAAATGAAAAGCATTATAGTGTTGAAATTAATACTGGTTTAATTTTGTTTAACAACAAACTTTTTGGCATGAAAGTTTGATACAGTTGAAATGTCATGTCAAAGTTTTCAATTGAAATAACAAAATTTTCATCATAAAAATATTATTTTTTTTATTTTAAGTTCTAGTGCTGTGTAAAATTTACAGTTTCTAATATGTAATAGAAAGGTTAATAAATACATTTATTATGCACTGTTCAATAATTTCTAAATCCTCCGATCCAAGAATGCTTGATCAGACAGCTGCAGCAAACGACGCGATTTGCGATATTTCCTAGTCCAGAGGCCCGTTTATATGTAAATCTGTTTTCCAATGTAAATGTGGATTGCTTGACGAACGGGCCATTTCCACCGAATTACTGGCCACTTTCAGATGCGCATAGGAATGTTTCCACTGGGGATCCAACGAGGGATATAACGGATACGAGAAATTGTTCTGGATCTAAAAAAAAACAAGGGGAAGATTTTACTTCAGATAATTTATTTTCAATGCGTTATGGTGCCTATACTTACTATCATTTTATCTGCAATCCGGCAGATTGTCTCGAATGTGGTGTGTTCAAGCGACTATGCTTCCTCTTATTAAAATCCCGCTCCATGTTCCTATTTTTGATGGATGGCGGAACTTTCCACAGGTCCAAACACTCAAGCCGGTAGATAAAATTGTCCACATTAAATCGGTTTAAAAATAACGTTTCAGGCCGCATTCGATCGCCGCGAATGAATAATTACGTGGTCTTCCATTTGTGAATTGAAACAGATCGAATTGGGGCACATTTTACTAACGGAATTGAGGCAAACGTTTGCTAAACTCATTTGATCCCTACACACACGTGACTGTTTTCGCTCTTTATACACTCACACTATTCTAAAACTACTCATAAATGAGTAGAAGTCCACCCAATGAAGACGTGATTTTGACAGCTCAACAATTTTCGATCTGAAAATTTGCACTTTTAGAACTACAAGACAAAAACATAACATTTACTTTTAAATTGAAAACTACCTAGTTGTATTAAATGTTGTCATTGCTAGAATAACGAATTAGTGGATACTTTTAAATTGAAAGGTCAGTATTTTTAATGATACAATTTTTGTTTTTTGTGTGTGCGTATTTCATTCCGGAATATATTGATGTCTTCTTCATTTCTTATTTCCAAAAAGAGCTTCATGTCGTCGGCATAAGTAAGCAATTTAAGTTTTTTTGAGAATGAAAGAAATGTCGTTTACGTATAGAATAAAAAGAAGAGGTCCCAAATGAGTCGGGCCTGAAGTGACTTGAATTCGAGAAAAAAAATAAATTTGTTTAGAACTCACAAGGGATCTTCTTATCTAAGTGAAATTTTGGCCAGCTTATATACAAACTCATCCCAACAGTGCTAGCGTTGTTGACAGCCAGTTTCCCCGCCTTTTGTTTTGCTTGTGGAATGCGACTTTCTCGTTGCTTGCTTGTGATCTCGCACGATGACAGATAGCGTCGCGACGTCGCACCGAGTCAATCATCAGTTTCGCGACACAGATCGATTTGCGAGAGGGCAAAGTGAATAAAAAATATTTTGAATCCTATTCGACTTATTCTACCAAAATAATATTGCTTCTTCTTCGGACGAAAATAGACCGCTGACAATACTGCACATCTCGTGATTCGCGTCGTTTACTTCATCTCGCGCATTTCGGATCACAAATAACGCCACTAAAATGACGTACCATCGATGGTGGTGCTGCATCAGCTATTGCTAAACTGCTGGACGACAACAAAAGTAGCAACAAATATTCGCTTTTCTGGGTGGAGCTCTGCCCAAATCAGAACAATCCATTACAGCCATCCCAACCCGTCGAGTGTGATTCACTCACGTCAGGATCGTGAATGATGAAGATCAACGAAAAAAATCTGTGCATGTTCGCGACTACGCCACCGGTCGACCTAGAAGGATGGCTAAATAAACGGGGTGAGGTTAACAAAAGTTGGCAGCGGCGGTGGTTTGTCCTGAAGGGCAATCTGCTGTTCTATTTCGAGCGCAAAGGCGATCGGGAACCGCTAGGAATGATCATCCTGGAAGGGTGCACCGTTGGTAAGGAGTAGTTTGTGGTTTATTGATTTAAAATAGTGTATGATGTTGTTGTGTGTGGTTTTGCAGAGCTGGCCGAGGAAGGGGAGCAGTACTGCTTTCAGATCATATTCCATGGCCCGAATAATAGGACCTACTACCTGAGTACCGAGTCGCAGAGTAACATGGAACAGTGGATGAAGGCGCTGACCTGCGCCGGTTACGACTACATGAAACTGATGGTGGCCGAGCTGCAGCGCCAGTTGGATGAAATCGAAGGTTGCAAGGAGAAGACACCGGAAACGACGCCGCTTCCGCCTCCGAAAGCACCACCCCGGCGACAGAACCCCTTCAACCGACCACCGCCGCCACCGGTTGAGTGTGCATCCAATACCGGTGAGTAAAAGATGCGTAACACTTACTGATTGATTGCTGCTTTACTCGGGCTTCGGGTTTCGATCGCCTCTTTCGCGCCGATTATTATCAGCATGCCTCTTTTTGTGTTTGCTTATGTTATTTTTATTTTTTATTGACAATGGTTTACGACGATCTTGTTTTCTGCATAGGCTAGAAATCTGTTTCGTATGATTGGTCACCTTCTGGGAATAAAAGTTCGTTGGAATTTTAGAAAATTACGCAATTTTGCTTAGATTAATGAGTCAAGGTTCAAAAATCAAATTATGTAGGAGATGTTATCGGTTTATTTGGTTGACATAATTGAACTTGTGAAAGAATTCCATGTATCTATTCCGCCTGCCGCTTAACAGCATACAAACTACAGATCAAGTGCTTTTGCACAGAACAAGATCACATCGGAATGCTTCATTCTTGTTACTAAGAAAAACATACTCTCAATCATTAACTATACTACTACGCTTCTTAATGCAAAGACCCGTGCGTGCTCGTCCATGTTGCTAATCTTAAATATTATTAAACTTAAAATTAAACATCCTCCAACCAAACGCCGAAAATCCGAAACAACAGTTTTCGACCCATGCGCTGCGGCTCTACCGATGGCAGCGTCCCACTTTTCCCCTCGAGCCGTCCGGAAGGCACCTCCTCCACCGCTGGTATCGCCGTCGTCGCAGCCGGCCAGTAACATTACCAACGGTAGAAGTCAGCTAAGCAGCGCCCACAGCAGCGGCGGAAGCGTCCTGAATGTCGATCTGTTGGCCGCCGGCGGAGAAGGAGGAGGAACAAGAAGCGATGAGTTCGGGTTCGAGCAGATGCACAGACTGCTCGGCGTTCCGATCCTGGCGGATCTAAAGGCACGGAAAATGGCGATGGAGAAGAGCGAACCACCACTCATCATGTTCTAGAAAAAAAGAGGGAGCTTGAAAGCGCTTGTTTCGAGCCATTTTGTTCGTTCATTGTTTTGTGCTTGGTCTAACCGTGGATGTGTCCCGTGTTATTTTGTTGCCGTCTAGCAGGGTTCTGTTTGGTTGTGTCGTTTATGTTATGCGATCGTTTATTGTAAATCTGTAAGCATTTCGCCCAGACTTGGCCAGTCAATTGAGTGATAGGAATTTCAAAATAGGTATATCATAGGAATTGATTATGCACGTTGTTTCTTAGCAGTCCGATTTTTTTTTACAATAGAAGTTTCTCATATCTAAAAAAAAAAGTTGTCTGTGTGGACAACAAATGTATGTGTCAAAAATGTTTTAAACGAAATGATAATCGGCTAATATTAGGTATGATAGAAACCCATTCTAACTCGAATAGAACATAGCTAATTTATACGATTTAAGATGCTACTTTAGCAGGTCTCTTCTACTCGATAGGTTCTATATCATGGATGGTCCTTTTTAAATCGAGTAAGGTAGAGTTTGCAACTGTAGGCTGATTGGATTTGTGTTTTTGTGTGTGGCAAATCCCATTCTAACTTGTGACATGCACGCAAATTGCTCATTTGTTAATAACTTTTCACTCACTCTTTGAAATTGGACCTGAAGCAATTGACAGAGTAGGGTCGAAGTTCACTGAAGACATGAATAGAGTTGATAAATTTTAACATTTGAATTTACACTAAAGCGTGTTTTTATATTAAACGTTCAAAATGATCAACGATGTGTCAACAGCTTGTCGCCTAAGCGCGAGCTTAAAAACTCTATTCTATTGATTGCTTGAAGAAAAACAAGGGTGGGATCAATTTAGCTAGAGTCGCTAATTGGCGTTAGCGCTTTAGCATAAACACTTTTTTTAAACGTCTTGCGATACTAGATATGTATTAGTTTCGATATAATTTGATCTTGAAATCGCTTATGAATTAACCGCTAAGCAGATGTTATTATAAAGTATGTTATAATTAGACAATACTATGCATGCCAAGCATGTTGTTGGTTCAACAGCAGGTTAGAGAGGGTTTTCAGCAAAGTCCTAGATAAGTATTTATATTTTATTGAACGTCTGATTCTGATCTGGTGATAGGATAGGCAACAATGGTTCTGTCTCAAAGCTAAACTAGCGTCTCGTACATTTTGAATTATAAAACTATGACGAGCAATTTGAGAACGTTTTCAAAGTCGACATCACCTTCGCTACTATTCAGTGATGTTGAACTGTTCGCTACTCAGGCCTATTGAGAAATCCAAGTTTGGATCGGCCACGGTGGCGCTGCAGTCGCAGCGGTGATGACTGTGCTGTGACGAGGTCGTATTCACCGTTAATATCGATCTCGGTCTCTAACAATATTGATATAATTTCGATTTCACATTTTTAGTCCCAATATCGGGCCCGACATCCAATATTCAACATACAATATGTTAAACATATTTCATTCCCTTACAACTTCATAATTCATTTGGAAAATCAAAAACATTCGTCATTAAACAAAAGAAAATTCCGTCCGACTTTATCTTTCGTTAATAACTTGAGCACATAACCGTTTCTTGTTGTGTTTGTCGTATTAGATGCTGGATAAAAGTTTCTTTAATCGATAAGACTTAGGACCTAATGAAATGTTCAGCTTGCTTCAATCTTTACGACGAATTCTACTACTTTTCTTTAATTTTAATGATTATACAATTCAATCACTTCCAAGAGACCTTTCGTATTTTTTTCGGTGCTCCAACTGCTTTACTACGCCACGCTTTCCAAAACCAGAATCAGACAGCACTCGTTATAGATGAAATCTAATCGAAAAAAAAAGTTTAACAATCATTCCTTCATAACCCTCAGTCACCGCATTCATTTGTATTAACTATTTGTAAGTAACTCCACCGCAAAAGCTAGAACGTAGGAACCACCTTAGTGATAGCTCGCCATCAAAGGTATGTAATTTTTCGGAGCCGGCTAAACTGCATCACAAAGCGCATCAGGAAGTGGCACATCTCGGAATAAATGCTCATGCAATACGCTTAACCCCAAATCGGAAACCAAAATCAATTCAAAATTGCGCCAAACGTGCTCGTCCTCTTTTCATACCTACCTGTGTTACATGTGCTGGATTTGCTCTGTGGTTGTAGCTGCGCTTGCATCCCGCTCGCATCAATGTTGTTGCTGTTAATTCGCATTATTCGAGCGCTTTCCGCTTCTAACCAACAACACAAGAAGCATAAAAATCATCACAGGTCTTCGATCTTCTTCTTCTTCTTCTTCTCCTCCTGCCATCGTCTGTTTTCCGTTCCAGCAGCAGTGAAACGCCAACGGAAAAGAAAACCGCTCGAGTCGCACTTTTAAGTGACCAAAACTAACATTTAAGGTGTAACCATTGTTTCAGTGTTGAATTTCCTGTACAAAAGTTTGAATTTAGGTGAAGTTTAAAACAAAATCTAATATGCCTATGTATACTTTGCCCTTGTATAAGAGATAAAAAGAACTGCAGTGCCAAAATTGTATTAGATAATGTAGTAGCGACAAACAGTCAACACACGAACAAAAATTTTCGTCTAGGGTTTAGTTTAGGTTGTATATTCTTTTAAAATGTAAAATTCACGGTGAATTTTAATTTAATTGTGAAACCGATTGAATCGCTCCTTTTAATTAGACATAAAATAGTAATCAAGAAGCACGGGAGTTTTGGACGAATCGATTGGACAATTTGAGAAATCCTTTTAAGCAAAGTGGGTTTGTTTTCTGCTTATTGGGTAATACTGCCATTAACTGGTCCATGTTCTATAGGCAATCCTTATGCGTCGTAAACGCTGATAAAACCAGTACTGCCTATATTCGCATATCAGTCCCATATGGATTTTCGACAATTTTCAGATGACAACGGTATTCACTGTCAATTGGTATTTACTTTCATGTTGTGATAAAACTACGGACTTTGATCATGAAAAATGTGAAAACAACATTAAGTCAATCCTTTAGATTTGTCGAACCTCTTAACGGAATCCCTTTATGAAGAGCTTTGAGCGTGTTGGTTTATTTCCTTTAAATTCCGTTATAATTGCTTATCTTTTGACAGATACGCGTATTACGTCTACTAAAGGGTGTCCACGATGAAATTGCCACACACAAAATTGATTCGCAAAATTCGAGTTTTCATCCGATTGCCATCAAATTTTCAGGGATTGAGAAATAACTATTAAACTTCATTTTACCATTTTACTCGTATTTTATTTACAGTCCATACGCAAATGCCCGCACCTTGGCCTTAACCCCGGCCATAAGATTCTGCACAACCTGTGAATCAACCGTTTTTTGCATGTAAACCCATACTTTCTTCAGTTCCTCGACTGTCATAATCGCCCAGTACTTCTCGATGGGGCGGAGCTCCGGAGTGTTGGGAGGGTTGAACATTTTCGGCACGAAATTGACCTTATTGTCCGCATACCACTTCAGCACGTCCTTGGAGTAGTGGCATGAGGCCAAATCCGGCCAGAAGATTGTTGGGACGTTGTGGGCCTTCCTACACCTGTCCGTTCATCGTGTCCTGGGTCACGAAAGGTGCACTCCGCTTCCCGCACGTGCAGATGGCTTGCCAAACCAGGAATTTCTTCGCAAATTTGGACATCTTCTGAGTGCGGACATGCTCCGGAACGCTGAACTTATCCTTGGCCGTGAAAAACAGGTTGCCGGGAATCTGTTTGAAGTCGGCCTTCACATATGTTTCGTCGTCCATGATGCAGCATTCAACTTTCGTCAGCATGTTGAGGTACAACTTCCTGGCACGGGTTTTGGCGGACTTGTTCTGCTTCTCGTCGCGATTAGGGGCCTTTTGTACCTTGAACGTTCGAAGCCCAGCCTTAGTTTTGGCCTTCTGGACAAAACTTCGGCTTAGGTGCAGCTTCTTAGCCACATCCCTAACGGAGGCGTTCGGATTTCGGTTGAAGGCCCCAACTACGCGGTTGTGATTTTTGGTGTTGTACGGAATACTTTTTCCTTCACTTCTGGGCTTCCGATCGGTGGTCAACCGTTCCTCGAACCGCTTAATCACTCGCGACACCGTGGAATTCGCGATTCCCAACGTTTTAGCGATGGAACGATGCGAGAGATCCTTGTTCTCGTGATGAATGCGCAAGATTTTATCACGCACGAGCTGTTCTTTCGACTCCATTTCCGCGAGTTTTGATCACAGGACTTTAAAACTTGCAGGATGTAAATAATGCACTATGAACTAAATCCACCCAAATTTTCATTAAATTCTACCCAACGGTTAAAAAGTTAGAGCAATTTCATAGTGTGGCAATTTCATCGTGGACACCCTTTACTTGCAGACTTCATCATTGCCAAGTACTTGTGGTGCTTGGTATTGCTTTCAATCAGCGCACCCCTCGTGAGCGAACAGAGAAAAAGAGGAAGTGTCAGAGTTGTAAAACACGTGAGACAATAAAGAGCTCCTTGAGATTGTCGATTAAAAACAACAAGTTTTTATTTATTCGCGGTCCGCGTTCGCGCCCCACATTGGTGACCCCGACGGAGAAGAACCGACTGGATAACGTTTCCATACATTTCTTCAACGAAAATGGCAAACCGGAACGAAAACGCTGCCGTCGCCGTAAAACTTCCGGACTTTTGGAAGAACGATCCTGTCATGTGGTTTGCACACCCTAATAAAAATTGTATGGTTAATTTGCTTAACGACGTGTTCTGGGTATCATCCAAACCATTTGTGGAATAGTTCAATGATTTGGGTTATCGTTTGTTTATGGTTATTTTTTATTAGGGCAGGCAGAGGCTCAGTTTGCCCTCGCGAATGTTCTTAGAGACGATACGAAATTTTATCACATTGTGGCCAAAATCGACCATTTGCCACGTAACGGACTTAGTGTCGAATCCGCCGGCGGAAAATAAGTACAGTGCGGTGAAGAATCGTTTGATCTCACGTTTTCAAGTGTCTGCAGAAGGAAGGTTGGAACGTTTGCTGTGTTCCTGCGATTTGGGTGATATGCGGCCAACACATATGCTCGCAAAAATGCAAGAGCTGGCAGCAGGATTAAACGTAACCGATGAGCTCTTGAAAATGTTGTTTCTTCAGAGAATGCCCCCAAACGTTAAAGCCATTCTCACCATCAGTGACGGAACTATCGGTAAATTGGCGGAAATGGCCGACAAAATGTTGGAATCTTCGTTGTCCCACGTCGCAGCTGCGTCGATGCCCACTGGAAACAACGATATGGAAGAATAGCGAGGCCAAATCGCGGCTCTCACTACCGAAATTAAGCACATCAAGGCAAACCGCTCATCCCGTAGCCGTTCGACATCACGTTCGAGTCGAAATGCAAGCGATTTCGAAATATGCTGGTTTCATCGCAAATTCGGTGGTCGCGCTCTCAAGTGTCGAGACCCGTGCCAGTTTAGTAACCAAAAAAACTAAACTCCCGTTCACCCGAATCGGCGGGGGTGGACGGAGCTCCGGAAAGTCGCCGTATTTTGATATTCGATCGTACCAGCAACACAAAGTTTCTTATCGACACCGGTTCGGATGTTTCGATTCTCCCAGCTTCAATTTGTGAGCGTTCGAATGGAACAGCACCTTTCGACCTCCATGCTGCAAACGGTTCCAGAATTAAAGTTTACGACAAACGATTTCTCACGGTCGATCTTGGTCTACGTCGTGATGTAGGTGTTGCGATTATTGGAGCATATTTTCTGGCGTCATACGGAATCCTCGTCGACCTTAAACACCGACGGTTGATTGACGGACTTACTAAATTATCCTCTATTGGGGGTATAATAGACACAACTGTTCACACCATAACCGTGGTCGCCCTAGATCATCCTTTCCGAGAATTATTGACTGAATTTCGAGAAGTGACGTTGCCAACTACAATTAAAACAACGATCCAGCACGATGTCACCCACTACATTCAAACGAAAGGGCCTCCCATAGCAAGCAAGTGTCGTCGCCTCGCCCCAGACAAACTAGACGCTGCTAAGGTTCCAGGTGATGAGTGAGCTGGGTATATGCCGTCCGTCTAGCAGCAGTTGGGCTAGTCCTCTCCATTGCGTCCCGAAAAAGAACGGTCAGTGGAGATTCGTCGGTGATTACCGTGCTTTAAACCAGGTAACTGTTCCAGATCGCTATCCCGTACCACATATCCACGACCCGTTGAATACGTTTCAGGGCAAAAGCATTTTCACCACACTGGATCTCGAAAGGGCGTACCATCAAATTCCCGTGGAAGAATCAGATATTCCGAAGACGGCCGTCATAACCCCGTTCGGGCTTTTCGAATTTACGAGGATGCAGTTCGGATTGTGCAACGCCAGCCAAACCTTCCAAAGATTTATGCATCAGGTGTTTGCCGATATGGATTTTTTTGTTGTGTTTGTAGACGACATCTGCATAGCTTCGTCGACGGAGGAGGAACATTATCAGCACGTACGAGCAGTGTTCGAACGACTCCGATCTTACGGACTTGTGATAAATGTTGCCAAGAGCCATTTTGCGGAACGAAGTGTGGAATTTCTTGGTTACCTGGTTAGCAAGGATGGAGTACGTCCACTTCCAAATCGCGTCGATGCCGTCGTCAAATTTCCACTTCCGACGACTGTCAAAGAGCTTCGAAGGTTTCTCGCACTGGTTAACAGTTATAAACGGTTTATTCCTCATGCCACTGACACCCAGATCGAATTACGGAGACTTATCCCAGACAACAGAAAAAACGATTCCAGGAAGCTATCATGGACAGAAACCGCCGAAAAAGCGTTCCAGGAATGTAAAACTTCGTTAGCGGACGCCAAATTGCTGCATTTTCCCGATGCTACAAAACCGCTAAGTTTGCTCATCGACGCGTCGAACACAGCAGCAGGTGCGGTTCTCCAGCAGTTAGACGAAGGACGGTGGAAGCCATTGGGCTTTTACTCCGAAAAATTTTCGCCAGCGCAGCTCAAGTACTCAACGTTTGGTAGGGAGCTTACTGCGATGAAAATGTCCGTACAGTACTTTCGTCACCAACTTGAAGGAAGGAAATTCATTATATTCACCGACCACAAGCCACTCACAACAGCGTTAACTTCTAGTCCAAATTCCAGATTGCCGCACGAAGAACGATATCTACAATATATATCCCAATTCACCAGCGATATCCGGCATATCAGCGGGGAATTGAATGTTGTTGCGGATGCACTGTCAAGAATCGAAGCAATCAACATTCCTATGGCAATTGATTACGAAACGGTTGCCAAAGACCAACAGGCGGACGTCGAATTGAAGCATCTTCTATTAACATCAAGTTCACTGAAACTGGAACCTCGGAAGACCCCCCTGGCATCTGTACCCTTGTATTGCGACGTTTCACAAAATAAGGTAAGGCCGTACATCCCCTTGCAACATCGCCAGGCAGTGCTGAAACACATCCATGGATTAGCACATTCGGGAATTCGCTCTACTCGTCGATTGGTTGCCGATCGATTTGTTTGGAAAAACATGAATAAGGACATCAAGCAATTTGTTCAGAACTGTTTATCCTGCCAGCGTTCTAAGGTTCATCGACATACGAAAGCACCAATCGAAAAGATTCCCCTACCGGATAGCCGTCATGTGCACATGGACCTAGTGGGTCCGCTGCCCCCTTCGAATGGATATCGTTATCTGTTAACAATCATAGACCGTTATTCTCGGTGGCCGGAGGCGATTCCATTACACGATATGACCGCCGAAACAGTGGCTCGCGCATTTGTCGATACGTGGGATTGCACGCTTCGGAATACCTGAGACTGTAACGACAGACCAGGGAAGGCAATTCGAGTCGGACCTTTTTCGTGAGTTATCAAGAGCGATAGGATCAAAACATGTTCGAACGACAGCTTACCATCCACAGTCAAATGGTTTGGTGGAGCGATTCCACCGAACACTCAAGGCGTCCATAATGGCAGTGAGTCAAAAACATTGGACTGCTGAACTTCCTATAATCTTGCTTGGACTACGAACGGCTTATCGATCCGATTTCGGATGCTCGGTAGCAGAGTTGCTTTATGGACAGACGCTGCGTATATCCGGAGAATATTTTGAGTCAACAGACGAATATAACGATCGCACTGAATTTGCAAAACAACTGAAATCCACTATGGGCAAATGGAAGCCTGCTGACCCAAACCATCATGTCAAACCGGCTGTATTTGTAAATCACGAACTCCAAAAGTGCAGTCACGTGTTCGTGCGAATATATGCTGTGAAGAAACTACTTGTACAACCGTATGAAGGGCCGTACGAAGTAGCTGATCGTCACGAAAAGTTCATGGATCTTCGAATAAATGGGAAAGTTCAACGAATGTCAATCGACCGCATCAAACCGGCATTCATCTGCGATCAAGGAGTGGATGGTCATCCACAGGACGATAAAAATACGAAAATCTCACAATCAGGACACAAAGTTAGATTCCTGGTGTGACTGTGGGGGACTCTGTGGTGCTTGGTATTGCTTTCAATCAGCGCACCCCTCGTGAGCGAACAGAGAAAAAGAGGAAGTGTCAGAGTTGTAAAACACGTGAGACAATAAAGAGCTCCTTGAGATTGTCGATTAAAAACAACAAGTTTTATTCGTTGTATTTATTCGCGTTCCGCGTTCGCGCCCCACATACTCAACACCACTGTGATGGTTAACTACTTGGAAAGCATTTCCAGTTGAAATTAAGGAGAACTCCATGTGAATTTTCAGTAAAACTTAGAGGAGAAATCCAAGACAATTCAGATAAAAAAAATTATGAGAACTCAGAGGTGAACAGCATGGGAATTTCTAAGGAGGTGAATTCTTTAAAAACAGTTTATAATTCAAAGAGAATCTAAGGACGAATTTCATGATTTTTTTAGTGTTCTGCAGAGAATTTCTGTACTGTTATAAAGACAATTCAAGGCACTCCCAGAGATAAACTCGAATTTATTCTAGAAGAATTCTGTAAAGAACTCTATAAGGGGAAATACTTTTGAAAGAAATACTTGAACTTAAATATAATCCTGTTTAGCTCTGTAAAGCTTCTCTGCAACTTTAAATACGGCAAGTTGGAATTTAAATTGTTGCCCATAACGCAGACTCCCTTCACTCTTTGGAATTTATAGAGACAGATAACAGCGCCAATAGGTTTATGACGATACAACGTTGAACTACAGCGTTGGAAGAAAACACACACACCAACATCTATGCATGTACGAACCCACGCCACTGAGCGGAGGGTACAGTGCAAATCAAAACACGAAGCGATATCATCACTCATCGTCATCACTCAGCTTTGGCAGCTACAGTTTGCGATTTCGCTGGCGTGGACAAATACCTTCTTTATGAAATAGGAAAGTAATCATTATTCCAACGTAATTTTTGAATAGAATGCGTGTAGCGGTAGCCAAAGAAGACGGCATATTTTGTTACGTTTGTTTAGCAATGATTTTGATACGTTGCGTTTTTCGAAGTATACTTCTATGCTTATAAAGATTATGTTGAGCAACAGATTCACAAATCATCAATTTTCGATTACTTTGTCGAAAGGACGTATCTGCTATTGTAAACAATGCATATTACTGATACCGGTGGTGATATTGGAAACTCGTTCACTCGAAAGCAAAACATATTACAAGCCCAGCTTGGATGTGTGCTTGTTTTCTCAAGCGTTTCTGTTGCGTATAACGTGGTTATGATTGAAAATCGATGCAATCATAACAAAATGAGAATTTTGCTATCGAAATATAATGATGATGACATCGATCATCCTCTTCCCTCGGCTGGCATCTGTCATAAGGACACCTGTCATTTATTGAACCCTGGTGGTGAAGTTGACTGGGGATTCCCTACAGTTTCAATGAGCACTCACTAGATGGCACTGCGATCACATAAGTGTGGTGTATCCATTGCCTTGTTCGAGGAATTGATTAGTGGGATATCTTGTTAATTAAATATCTTTGCTTTAATTCAGGAGACCATCAGAATTTCAAATATGGTAAAATATCTCTGTTATTGAGAGTCGTGTTACACAGTGTTGTTAGTTTTTAATCTAGTTGTGCAAGATCTTGCAATATAAACTTTTGACGAATGCGTACAGATACCAAATCGATGCCTACCTTTTTTGGATGACTGACAAATCAATTTGCACGATTCTATTCCTGAAAGTTTTCTGATAATGTTTAAGTCACATTTAGTTAACTTTTTTAAATGATTTTAGACACTAATTCACCATTTTTATTGCTTAACACTGCTATCAGCCTTGTATCTTCGAGAAAGTTGTTCAGGTGATAAAGGTATGGGAAAATAGGCCGTAGTCGTACTGAAGAGTGATGGTCAGGAACAAGTGAATAAATTGAGGTCCATGCTTTGTGGAGGCCATTCCAGCGGTTTGATCCGACAAGACCGGAAGAAAGACTTCCCAACAAACAATCGCCTATTGAAGAAACGACTTTTTGTTCATTTTATTCAACTGCTTGTTTAGTAATAATAATTTAGGACACTTTTCTCTCAGTGTAGTTTTTGAAATATTCACGAACCGCTGACACGTTTCACTTATATAACAGCTGCTGAAGCTGTCCACTTTATTTCGTCGTCCACAAGTTGTTTATATTCTTGTTCAGTTTGGTAAAATGGTGTCGAATCAAGTGAAAGTACGCAAACGCATTTTGTATGAAAGGCAGAAAAATCCAACGTTGTCGGTACTCGATCTCGCCAAAAAGCTAAAACTGCCGAAGAGTTGATGGATCGATAGGTAGGGTCCAGGCGTGGGAGCTGCCTCCATGGCGTCGGTAGCATTGGTGTTCATCACGGAAAACAAATCAAGTAAAAAAAATCATAAGTGGCTCTTATGGAATTCTGACGTTCTTTTGCTTCAGTGTAGAATACACTATTCTCGTTCTCAACACTTCATCCTTTCACGGCAACTTAATCAGAAAATTACTTTTCAATGAACACATTTTCGAAAAAAAAATACTTCTTTAGAAAGAGACCAAAAACTGACCCCAAATCATTATAACTTCATATTTAATAAAAAGAGCGTTTTTGACAAGTTAGAGAAAAGTACCCCACTGTGCGTCGTAAGAATGTCAGACCCGACTCAAAGAAGACGAGCAGGCGCGCAGTGTGGCGAAGTGGATCGACTTGCGGAGCCTTCGAAGATAGCGGTGCTGGCGACGTGCACCCTAGACCAATTTTCCACTGCTGAAGAATTTCACTGATCTGCCAGTTTAGAATGTTTGAATTGTTTAGAATCAAACCAAAATTTTAGGGTAGCTTTATACATATATTTACTTCAAAAATCAAAAGAAAAGTTAATCGATGGAGCCTTGAGTGTAAAATTGAACGCATTTTGGCTTGATGCCCTCCATCAAAGTCTTTACAGTGTCATCCGGTACCAGTTTCTCAGTTTTTTTTCCATTTTCTTAACATGTCCTTCTCGTCTTTGACTGCCCTAATAAAAAATAACCATAAACGAACGATAACCCAAATCATAGAACTATTCCACAAATGGTTTGGTTGATACCCAGAACACGTCGTTAAGCAAATTAACCATACAATTTTTATTAGGGTGTCTTCTTGCTCTTCCGAAGTTCCCGCTTCATTATTGCCCAGTACTGCTCCACCGGGCGCAGCTCCGGACAGTTTGGCGGATTCATGTCCTTTGGAACAAAGTGGACAGAATTGGCCTCATACCACTCCAGGACACTTTTAGAATAGTGGCATGATGCCAAATCTGGCCAAAATAGCGGAGCTTCGTCGTGCTGCTGCAAGAACGGCAAAAGGCGCTTCTCGAGGCACTCAGATTTGTAGATCTCGCCATTTACTGTGCCCTTTGTCACGAAAGGCTCACTCCTTAGTCCGCAAGAGCAGATGGCCTGCCAAATGAGATATTTGGAGGCGAACTTCGACATTTTCTTCTTCTTAAATTTGTCGTCCACATCGAACTTGCTCTTGCCGGTGAAAAACTCCAACCCCGGAATTTGCTTAAAATCGGCTTTTATATACGTTTCGTCGTCCATCACACAGCAGCCATATTTTGTCAGCATCTTCTCGTAGAGCTTCCGTGCCCGAGTTTTAGCCGGCGATTGTTGCCGCTCATCGCGGTTTGGGAAGTTCTGTACCTTGTATGTATGTAGTCCAGCTCTCTTCTTTGCATTCTGGACGTAGCTCTGCGACATGCCGATCTTTTTAGCCAAATCACGGCTTGAGACGTTGGGATTTGCTTTAATCATCCGCTTCACCTTTCCCTCCGTCTTTTTGTTCTCCGGTCCCGGTTTTCTTCCAGCTCCTTTGCCGTGGTCCAACGTCAACCGCTCCTGGAACCGCTTCAACACTCTGGAGACGGTTGAATGGTGAATGTTCAACATTTTTCCCAACTGCCGGTGCGACAGGTCAGGAAATTCCAGGTGTTTGGAAAGAATTTGTTCTCTCAACTCGCGTTGGTTCACCTCCATTTTCGTTGAATCGAAAAACACGACTTCGAGTTTGACAGCATGTACACAATACACATCAATGAGAAAGTGTGCAAAATTTGGTTGATTTTTACCCAATGGTAAAAAAGTTATGCCCTGTTGAATGTGTCGCAATAATTTCGTGTTCGCCCTTTACTGAGTAGTTAGGTAACCAAAAAGCACAGGAGTTTCGGACGAATCGAAAAAGGAAACTTATTTGAGCTATCTCTTTTAACGAAAGTGTCTTTGTTTCTGATCAATGGATGTTGGTAATGATTTAATAATTACTGCTGGCTGGTGCTGCCGTAGATTTCTTGAAACTCTTCCCACGACAGCTGATGGGCCTTCGCCAGATGGGTCTTCATCTGCACCTTCAGCATGAAACACTGTCCACATAGTTCGCACGGGTACGGTTTCTCATTGGTATGGGTCCGCATGTGGACGTCCAGCGAGTACTTCTTCTGCAGAATCTTGCCGCAGACGTTGCACGGAAAATGTCCCGTGTGCCGCCTCAGGTGCTCCCGAAGGAGAGACTTGTGCTTCAACAACTTCCCACAAACGGTACACGGGACCTTCTGGCTTTCGTGCTTGATCGCATAGTGATAGTCGAATGTACTTCTGTATTTGAACTTTTCGTCACACTGATCGCACTCATATTTATAACCCTCGTCGCAATGGACCAGTACCTCGTGCCGATCACGTGTTATCTTGTTACTGTACTGCCGACCGCATCCCTCGAACGAACAAATATACGGCTTCAGGCCGTTGTGCTGGTTCATGTGGTACTCAAAGTACGATCGCTCGATTTGCTTCCCGCACAGTTCACAGATCTTTTCGTATCGAACAATTCCCCCCTTGGTTACCTTTATACAGCCCTCGTCGTCGAAGCTTCTCTTGCCCGTGAAGCGTCGCTTATGCGTCATGTATGCTTCCGTGATTTCCTGGATTCGACGTTTCTTAACTTTTTTCGTGTGCGTCGCTCCCGATGGCTCGCCTTCTTCAGCCGGATCGCCTTCGTTCTCTGCGGTCAAGCTTTCCGCCATTTTCGAGAACAGATCATACAGTGGATTGCTGCTCATTGGTTCATCTTCTTCATTATCATCGATTGGTTCATACACAGCCGCAGCGCGGGATTTACGTGGTCGGTGCATGTTCCGTAAGCGACGCCACTCACTTCTGGCTGCCCACGCATCACAGTTATCGAACATTCCGGCAATCTGAGACCACATTGCGCCACGCTTGTCCGACTTGAAATAGCTAGAATAGATGGAAATAAGACAAACATGAATCGATTGGGTAACATACGTTATGGGATTTTGAATCTTAGATGCCAAGAAACCAGAAGTATCCAGCGGAAATTAGAACCCCTCATCTGAGAATCGCACGCTTTACCGCATAGCTATACATCCACCAACCCCGGAAACTAGATACTCACTCGACATGAGTCGTATTCCACAGGTGCTCATGCTTGAACACTTCCTCTACCAGTCTGACCTTGTCCTCCATGGTGGAAAATGGCCCCACCTCGCCAGGTTCCTTCAGCGGGACGTCTTTTTTGGGAAACCCTCCACCATGTTTCCCTAGCTGCATGTGACCATCGAGCATCGCATGTAGCTTCCGGTAGAGCGGATCACACAAGAGATGATTTCTTTTAGTAATTGATCCTTGCAAGTATCGTAATCTCCGAGTGCGATAAATGTTCCTCAGTCGGGTCCACAGTTCCTTCACATAGGCTTTGGTGACATTCATTTCCTGTGCGATGGTATCCCAAACTGCGTCTCTTTTCTCAAAATTCTGGTGGCTGTAAACGACAGGATAGGGTGGGAAGTAAAAACGCGCGCAAGAAAAAGAAAAATCTATTTATAGGTACTGACTTAGGGTGTTTGCTGTTCCAGATGAGTTCGTTTTTCTCGCATAGCACGGCTAGTTTCAAAGTCTCGTCGATGTCATATTCCACAGTATCGCCATCCCCATGGTCTTCCAATACATCGTTGGATTCCGATTCGTCTGCCATGTGCGCGGAGTTCCTCGAGGCAGCTTTTAGATTTAAATCAATTCGCATGCTTTTAGAAAACATCATATTCATTTTCTGGAACAGCGGATCATACTCAAAGTGAGCTTTGAGATCCGTATTGCTCTGCAGCATGCGTTTCATCCGGCTTCGGTACGAATCTCGCAACAATTTATACGCATATTTGATCTTTGTACTGCTCTGGTTCATTGACACAGCAATCCGTTTCCACGTTTCGTCCCGTGCGACAGCATTGTGAAAGCTGTAACGTCACAAAAAAAAACTTTATTTGAGATATAAAATCCAAACAAGACGAGGCCCCTATCGTTTATCGTTTGAGTTCGTTCAAAATCTGACTCCACTTCATAACCAAACCAATGTTGGTGCCACGTGATCATGTACTTCGTTTTGGTAGAGCTTTTGCAAGGATTGAACGCGATTTTCGTTGCTCTACTACGATCAATATCGGCACTGTACACTAGCTCGGTTGATCGCTCCTTCAAGAGCAATGTTGAATGGTATGTTTGAAAATGCATCACCTTGCTTCAATCAGTGTAAGATCGCGAATGAGATCAAAAATTATCCGTACACTCCAATTGTTGTATAAATTTGTCTTTAAATATCCAGCCCAGACACAATTGTTTTATTTGTCAGAAATTTCCCATAACGGTTATTTCATTGCACGTATCTTCCCTTATTCTACTAGTCGTGTGACAAATGTATGGTGTCTATTTAATTTTCACGGAGAGTAACCTCACACGACGTGACTTTTATCACCTCACTAGTGACCTCTGATGACATTAAATTTTCATCTATTTGTTTGGATAACTTTTTCCAAGCCTATAGATAACCGCTTGTTCCAATTGGCGCATGTTGCCTAATACTTATTCATTTTAATGGACATTGCAAATGTTCATTTGTAGTAAACTCAGCCTACTATCCTGTCAAATTCACCATGAGCAGCACTGTAACCATGTTGTCATTTTGGGCTTCGGAAGTTGTCCGAATATCCATCTGCTTCTTACTAGTGTTCTTCCGGATACATCTTCGTCAAGGACTTTTCTGGAATCTTCCTGGTTTCTCTGCAGCGTCCTTTTTTTCGCCTCGAACGAGTCAAGGCAGTTTCGCCTTTTGATGCCGACTTTTTCAAGGATTCAGATAAGCGGAAACTAGTTGCATTGTTTACCCTTTGCTTCCCATGGTAGCACAGGTGATTCACAGCTTTTTGGTCTTTCTTGATCAATAATCAGCACTGATGTATGCTTCTCAGTGTGCTCATTATTGAAAAAAATGCCACTATTGAAAAAATTATTGACCTGAGGTCCATCGTTGTTCGGATCTTATGTAGAAAAAACTTCTTCACAGCAGACTTTTGCGTTTAGCAGCTTGAAGAATTTTAGTTTCTTCCTTTCCTCCTGCAGGCAATCGGCGCAGCAAGTACTACTTTTAGGTCCACCCGGCTTCAAGACAATCTAGATTTTGTAAATCAAAAACGCTCGACGTGGACGCTAATCAAATAGCCTTTAAATATTGATATTTCCTTCAGTTAGTTTTAAGACAATTTAGCAATTTTCAATTCAAACTGTGAAAAATGTAGTTTAACTAGGATAGCTTCTAACAAATTGAACCAATTATTCCGAATCGTGACTTGCTTCTGTCGTATTCTTCTATCTGACGTTTTCAACTTGGTAGACGTCACGACCGAAGTTAAGTTGCCGGCGATCCCTCGTGAAAGTTTTATTTATTGCAGCTGCCCAGTGACGTTGTACGCAACAAATCCCCGACCTGTAAACCCGATCCCGAATCATCCACTGGATCTGGATTACCATCAGAAATCTCCAGTACCGCCAACTTGGCAGTTGCCCGTTTAAACACTCCGCTGTTAGTCCGTACCATAGCCTGACGTACCCGTCCGTCACTGGACACGATAGGTTCTTCGACCACTCCTCGCACCCAAGCCTTTCGGCGATCTCCTTCAACGACGTACACCAAGTCACCCTTCTGCAACTGCTGCGATTCCCCAAACCATTTCGTTCGCTTATTGATGGTAGGAACGTATTCCCTTATCCAGCGCTTCCACATTTCATTTGATAGTTGCTGAGACCGTTTGTACGAGTCTCGTAGAGCCTGAGCTATATTCGTTGGTGGCACACTTTCCTGCGGTTCATTTGGCGCCGTCCCACGCAGGAAATGATTTGGAGTGATTGCAATTTCTGAGGAACTCTGAGGAACGAACATAAGAGGCCGACTATTTATCATATCTTCTGCCTCGGAGAGAGTGGTCAGAAGAATCTCGTCGGACAGTTTTCGCCCGTCATCCAATGCTGCTATCGACTGCTTCACTGTGCGCACCATTCTCTCCCAAACCCCACCCATATGAGGGGCGGAAGGGGGATTGAAGTGCCAGCAGGTTCGTGCACTGGTGAACTCTTCTGCGCATTCCTTATTCATTTCTCGAATCTGCTGTAGGATTTCTTTGCTGGCTGCCTTTAGGTTAGTGCCGTTATCAGAAAAGTACTCTGCTGCAGGGCCCCGTCGACATATGAAACGACGAATAGCCATAATACACGATTGAGCGGTAAGACTATATGCTATCTCTAGATGAATAGCACGAACCACCATACAGGTGAACACCACAATCCAACGTTTCTCCGAGTGTCGTCCGACCGTAACTTCCACCGGACCAAGATAGTCGACTCCAACATATGTAAACGGTCGCTGATATGGAGTCAACCGTTGCACCGGGAGTGCAGCCATCCGAGGCATACTTTGTCGATTCTTCTTCACCTTACACCAGACACATCCTTTCTCCACTTTTGTGATGAGCGAACTAAGCTTTGGAATTAAGAACCGCTGTTTGATCTCGTTCTTCACAGTCTCTCGGAAAGCGTGCCCAAACCTTTCGTGGAAACTACGTACTAGTTTCTCCGTGATAGTGCTGTCGCGTGGCAGTATTATCGGGAATCGTAAATCGAACGGAAAATGTTCGGCATTAGCACTTCGTCCTTCCAATCGAAGCACACCAGACGCATCTATAAGTGGTGTATATTCATAGAGCTTACTTGACTTCTCTAGCGGAATCCAATCTTTGCGTTCCAGTTGTTGATTCTTCCGTAGTGTCTTGATTTCGTCACCGAACGATTCGCCTTGTGCCATCTTGAACAAAACCTCCTCTGCCTTCTGAAACTCTGCTTGTCGTAGGGGAATTCTAACCGAAGGAATTCTGGTCATAATCCATCTTTCTTGAGACGCCGTAGGTTGTAAGGTTTCGATAGGTTGTCTACGAGCCTTCAGCCGACAATTCGACACGAATCTGAAGAGGCAAGCTACTGTTCGCACAAATACATTCCATTTCGAAATGTTGTTAGCGTTGACGAACGGTTTCACCAGGGCGATGTCATGGAACAAGAACATGGCTCTCAGTTCTGTTTTCGTGTTTGGCGGAGGGAGTGCTTGTTGCGGCCATGTTTGTGGTGACATGTACAGAAATTCTGGCGCCCGAAACCATGGACTTGTGGAATGTAGTCCAGGATAGCGCCCCCACTTAGTTAGACAATCAGAAATGTTCAGTTTAGAGGGTATCCAGCGCCAATCTAACAAGTTGGTTAGGCTTAATATTTCACCGATTCTGAAGCCGACGAACTGTTTATATTTTCGCTGGTCTGAACGGATCCAGGAGAGTACAGTTTGTGAATCGCTCCAAAAGAAAATTTGCTGAATCTCAAGGGAATGAATTTGTCGAATATTTTTCGACATGCGTGCTGCCAGTACCGCTGCTTGCAGTTCTAAACGAGGAATAGTAAGCTGTTTCAGCGGGGCTACCTTGGATCGGGCCATCACCAAAGAACATCGTACTTCCCCATCGACATCAATCCGTAGCAAACCAGCACAACCAAATGCATTTTCACCTGCGTCACAAAACAGGTGTAGCTGAATCGGTCTAAAACAATCCGACTGGATACTCCCGAAGTAGGACCTTGGAATCTTAACCTGCTCTATTTCCGGTAACATGCTCATCCATAGATTCCACTTGTTCAGCGATTCCTCATCGATAGCTTCATCCCATTCACATCCCGTACGCCAAAGATCTTGGATCAACATCTTTCCCAGCACAATAAAAGGTGCCAGCAGACCCAACGGATCGAAGAGAGACATTACCGTACTGAGAACTTCTCTTTTGGTAGGACGCTCTAGCCTTACGTTACGAGATGGAACCGAGCATGACAGCACATCTTCTTGCGTATCCCAAACTACTCCCAGCACTCGTTCTCGATCGACGGACTTGTCCTGATTGAGGTGAATCATATTATTTAACCTTGACTCACCTAGATGCCGCAATACGTCATCGGAGTTTGATGCCCAGTTCCGAATTTCAAAGCCGGCCTTCGAGTGGATAAAACGAACTTTTTTAGCTCGCCGTATAGCTTCTTCCTCAGTATCTACGCTGTTATAATAATCGTCGACATAATGTCGTTCGACAATTGCCTTTGATGCTTCCGGAAACTGATCTGCAAACTCCTGGGCATTGAGGTTTTTTATATATTGTGCTGAACACGGGGAGCACGTAGACCCGAAAGTGGCAACGTCCATAACATATACATCGGGCGGATGATTTGTATCGAAACGGAACAGAAACCACTGTGCTGATTTATCTGCCTCCCTGATGAGCATTTGGTGGTACATTTCCCGCACGACACCACCAAAGGAAACCGGTTTTTCGCGGAACTTACAGATCACAGCAGGGAGTGAAGCTAACATGTCGGGACCCTTGAGCAAATTGGAATTTAGCGACACTCCATTAACTGTTGCCGCAGCATCCCATATCAGGCGCACCTTTTCTGGCTTTTTGGGATTCAAAACGACGTTCAGCGGTAGATACCACACTCTAGTGCAATCTGCGGCTGCCAGCTCGGCATCCGTTGCCTTATGACAATATCTTTTTTCCTGGTACTCCTTTATCTGCCGAAAGACATTCGTTCGCAGTTCTGGATTTTTGGAGAGTCGCCGTTCTAACGCTTTCAGTCGTTTCGTTGCCATAGGGAAACTGTCCGGAAATGTAGGATTGTCATACTTCCAGATTAGCCCGGTCTCGACTCTAGGATTGGTACAGTCGCCGTACAAGACCCCTCCAGAGTATACTGTGAACCCAACAGTTCATGGAGTTCCTTGTTGCTCACGGTTTCGATCCCATGGTGGTTGACGAAGGCCTTAGCTGAAGTTCTTTGTTGATCTGTTCCATACACCGTCCAACCGAGAATGGAGCGAACCGCAATCGGCTCGCCAGGTGCACCGACTCTAGACTCCAAAGGTGCGAAAAGGTGTAAATTGTCCAATCCTATCAGCACCCTCGGTGCTTCTCCATGATAGTCTACGACTGGAAGGTTCCGCAGATGTCCGTAACGTTCTGCGATCTCGTCAAATCGAATGCTTTGTTGAGGTAATTAAAGTTCTCTAACGGTACGCGCATGCGAAAGTTGATGCTTAGTCGTACTTTCCCTGGCGGATATCGATAGGTTCAATCTAATCGACTGATCTTCGTGCCGCTTCATGTTTGCTGTCCATACTACCACCAACGGCTGCGGTACACCTTCGGCGTTGAGTTCATCCACTAGAGAGTTCTCCACCAGCGTAGCAGATGCACCTTCGTCCAAAAAGGCAACGGAGTCCACTGCATATACACCGTAATACAGCGTGATCGGGATCATTCGGAAAATGACAGATCCTGTCCGAAGGTGAGTGTTGCATTCGACGTGAGCTACTTGGATGACTTCTTCGGCTCGATGTAGTAGCGGGTGGTGTCCACCTTTGCAATTATCGATGTTGCAGCGGACATTGAACGTGCACCGCGTTTTTCCGTGGTCATTTAGGCACGTTGTGCAGAGCTTATACTTCTCCACAATCTTCATCCGATTTTGCAAGCCGAGCTTAGCAAAGTCGTCGCAAAACCTCACCTTGTGATCGGTTCTCCTGCAGACCACGCATGGCAATCTTGCTTTCTGATGTGATGAAGGCTGTCTTCCGTTTAGCCGCATACTTTGTGCATCATGAGTGTGCACATATTCCTTCTTCTTCGACTTATTTCTCGCAGGGTCAGTCGAGGGCTCAGCTCCGATGAAGTCTGTTACCTCCGAAACCTCAGACACGATTTCGTTAGTAAAATCTGTGAATATCCTGAGCGGAGTTCCAATCTTTCCCCGCTTAAATCGTACCCAATCTAGCTTGTACTCCGACGGAAGTTTGCTGACCAGCTCTTGTACCAGCATTGGGTTACATAAATGGTCTTGCAGTCCAGCTGCTTCGAGGTGGTCGCAGAGTTGCTTAACGGTGATCCCGAAGTATAGAAAGGTTTCAAGTTTATCTAATCTCGGTGCTTGTGCCTTACGGACCTTCGCTACTAGCGTCTTGAGTAGCTTTTCCGGATTGCCAAAGAGTTTGCGTAAGTCATCTATTACTTCAGGCACCGAATCAGGTAGCAGTAAGCGGCTTTGGACGGCTTCCTTAGCAAGGCCCTGTAGACTGTCTTGAAGTCTCTTCAAATTATCCGTGTTGGTGAAACCGCATGCAGCTGTGGTGTACTCATAGCAGCTAATAAAAAGAGGCCAAACTTCTGGTTCTCCCCTAAAGGTTGGCAAATGTTTCGAGGCCGCTTGTCGTGCGGCCAACTGTGCCTTAGTTGGACCTCTGGCCTGAATCCGTGTTTCTCTTGGTGACCCCGACCTGTTTCGCTTTCGACGGTTCAAAATATCACGGATGGCAGCAAGTTCTTCTTCCGTCCATTCTTCCTGCAACGGTTGCTCCTTTTCATCATCTTCTTCTTCTTCTTCTTCTGATTCGGCATCTCCTTGGTTGACTTCTGAACCTTTTCCGAAAGCATCCTTCGCCTTTCGGTCAACTAGCTTTATCTTAATAGGAGCTCCAACTTGTGGTTCTTTCGCTTTCGGACGGGCCCCTCTCGAATCTTTCAGCGTAGGTTCCAGCCACTGACGTACTCTATCCAATGAATCACCAGTCTCAGCACCATCCTCAGCCGCCTCGTCTTCAGGGGTCTCATATTGACGTACCATATCGAGTTTCAACCTTTGGAACTGATTTCTGAGTGATTGCTGCGTTTCTAGAAATGCTCGTTCATCCTCCAAACGTTGTTTTAGCAACAATTCCGGAGTGATTTAAGATTTGGGCGTAATTGCATTTGTAAACAAACACGTCAATCACCGATTTCTCACAAATAAAAGCTCAAACTCGAAAAGTAATAATACTATGAGGAAGAGGAATGATTCCTCTATCATTTGGTATAGTTTGTTTGTGAGATTAAGCTTTTATTCAAGAGAAATCAGTGATTGACGTGTTTGTTTACAAAAGCATTTACGCCCAAATCTCAGATCACTCCGGAATTGTTCCTTCGCCAACAGCTCTCGCTGCTGGGCCCGCTTTTTCTCCATTAAAGCACATTCCATTTCGAGACGTTTTTCAGCAATGTTTCGCTGATCTTCCAGTTCCTGTTCTCAGGCCTCTCGTTCCTGCTCCAGTAATTGGAAAGCTTCCGAATTCGATGTCTGACTAGCTCCTCCGCTAACTTCCGAGCCCGCATCGCTCTTTGCACCAGAACCTGGCTTTTTAGTTGCCGATTTTTTAGCGGCTCCCTTTTTGCCGGTTTTCGGTAAAGTTAACATATTGCTGCACTTTGAACAGGTCCAAGACTCATTTTGAACATCATCCGTGCCATTTTGAGGTTACGTCCGATTAAAATTCTTCAAGTTTGTTCGGATCTTATGTAGAAAAAACTTCTTCACAGCAGACTTTTGCGTTTAGCAGCTTGAAGAATTTTAGTTTCTTCCTTTCCTCCTGCAGGCAATCGGCGCAGCAAGTACTACTTTTAGGTCCACCCGGCTTCAAGACAATCTAGATTTTGTAAATCAAAAACGCTCGACGTGGACGCTAATCAAATAGCCTTTAAATATTGATATTTCCTTCAGTTAGTTTTAAGACAATTTAGCAATTTTCAATTCAAACTGTGAAAAATGTAGTTTAACTAGGATAGCTTCTAACAAATTGAACCAATTATTCCGAATCGTGACTTGCTTCTGTCGTATTCTTCTATCTGACGTTTTCAACTTGATAGACGTCACGACCGAAGTTAAGTTGCCGGCGATCCCTCGTGAAAGTTTTATTTATTGCAGCTGCCCAGTGACGTTGTACGCAACAATCGTAGCTGAACTCCTTTGATCAACAAAGAATGTGCGGTTGTGTTCCATTTGGTGAATTTTCACTTAAATTTGACAGATGGAGAATTTTCAAATAAACCTGCTAGTGCAAGAATAGCAAACTTATTTCTGACAGACGTTCTCGAAAATTCGGTCGATCAACAACAGAGGGATTTTAATTTATTTTCGAAGAGTCAAATATAAGAGAAAATCCACTAAATGGAACAACCTGAGCTCTCGGAAAAAAAAATCTTTGCCAAAGGACCTTTGCAACGACCAAAAGTACGGATTGAACTGCTCTTTACCGATTATTGAGACGCCCCCTAACGTACCCCAACCCACTTATACACTAGAAAAAAAAACGTCGGAGTCTATACTTACTCGGGATGGGTCGCATTCCACAGGAACTGATACTTGATCACTTCTTCCACCAGTCTGACCTTGTCCTCCATGGTGGGGAACGGTCCCGCATCGCCTCTACCGGCATCCTTCGTCTGTTCCGACGATTCACTTTTGCTGATCCCCCCACCGTACTTCCCCAGATGCATGTGATCCTTGAGCATCGTGTTCAACTTCCGGTAGAGAGGATCACGCAAAAGATGACTATTTTTCGCGAGATTTCCCTTCAATAATCGCAACCTCCGACCGCGATACACGTTCCTCAGGCGGGTCCACACGGCCTTCGCTTGGACCCTGGTGAGGTTCATCTTCCGTGCAATGGAATCCCAAACGATGTCTCTTTTCTCCAAATTAGCGTGACTGGAAATTATAGGATATTGTAGAAAATTACAACGGAGAAACAATATTTCATTATACTGACTCGGGATGTTTGCTGTTCCAGATTATTTGGTGCTTCTCACATAACACAGCTAGTTTCATATTCTCATCGCCTTCATCTTCGACAGTATCGCCATCTCCATGGCCTTCCGGTGCCTCGTCAGATTCCGATGCATCCATCATGTGCGCACTGCGCTTCCATGCTGCTGCTGGTTGCGGTGGTCCTGTTACCGGTGGAATTGGGCCGATTCGCATATTTCCAGCAAACATCAATTCCAGCTGTTTGAAGAGTGGCTCGTGCAGAACCCGAGCTTCAGGATGTAACAGTCCCTGCTTCAAGCGTTTCACCCTGCCTCGGTACAAATCTCGCAAACACTTCCACGCGTATTTGGCCTCTTCGCGTGTTTTGTTCAACGTCACAGCAATGCGATTCCACGTTGCGTCCCTTGCGACGGCATTGTGAAAGCTGTAAAAAGAAACGTTATGAGACATACATTCAAATCCAGTCCAAGTTTATAACCCACTCCTGATGCTTCTGGTTCCAAAGATGCTGATGCTTGTACACGAGCTTCGCCAGTGTCATCTTCTGAGATGAAACCGGAGTGTCATCTTTCTTTTTGGTTTTGTCTTCCGTATCTTCGTCCTCCTGATGTTCTTTCAGCACTACCAACACATTTTCCTCTTTTTCCTCCTCAACCGTAACTTGCTCCGGCTCTTGCTCTTGCTTAACGACTCCACCTTCGTTGGTTTGATATATATGGTGCAGTATTTCAATCAACTTGTAAAACTGCGTATCGGCCTTGGTCCTGACCCTGGCGCCTTCTCTCACCCGTTTCTTATGTGTCCGATAAATACCCTGTAGCGAACGCCAATGCAACCGAAGATTGATAACATCCATATTGAACTTTCTAGCTATGCTCTTCCAGGTCTGATCCATTGTATGCGTTGAACTGGCCAGTGATCTATCCCAAAGATCCGGATTATTTTTAACCTCCTCAGCAATGGCAATTTTAAGACCTATTGGAAAGTTTTTCCTGGAAGAAAGAAACTAGTCATTTGGAATCACCTTTCGATGCCTCATTAACTACCGTTCTGATTCACATTTCAGACACTTCATAATGATATCTTGCAATACCTATATAATCCTATTATATAATATTCTAGCGTTTAGAATCATAAGGGCCCAACTGCTTAAGGTCGATAGGCATTTCAAGATATAATTAAAAACCGTCCGAGATATGAATCAGAACGATAGAGAAACATAACACTTACCCATCCGTTCGTTCGTCCGTGTCCACACTGTCCGGTGCAACCCATGGCTCCACGCTATCATCCAGCTCCGGAACGATCTGATTCATAAGGTTGAACAGCGCACAACCCTTCAACCGAAGTATCATCAGCCGGGTACCCGTTGCGACACCCGCTTTGGTAGCCAGATAACTTTGCTTCATTCTATTCCAGCGAGTTCTAGTTGCGGAATATGCCATTTCTAACTGTTCGGCAATTTCCGCCCACAGTTCTTTATGATTGACTGGAGTGGAAGTGAACTGCTTCAAACGCTTCAGCACTTCCTGGGCGAGTTTGACTTGTTGCTCATAACTCGTCGAACCAATCCCGTCCGAAGGTTCGGCCTCATTATTCTCGTCAACTTCTTCATCACTTTCATCGGTCGATGGCCGGTCTGGTTTAATATCCAGCACTTCCATAGCCATTGGCTCGTCACCCCAGTCTTCTTCGTTATCATCAGGTTCCTCCTTTACCAGTAGCATCGGAACAAACTGTTGGGAAATGGAATCCTCGTCTGCCGTTCCTTCCACACCTTCTACCCCGACAAGTTGCTCATTGATCGTATCTTTGTGCTCCTGAACCAGCCTCCGCAGCTCACCTACATATTCCCCATATCGTTCCCATCTTTCGCTGTCTTCATAACGAATCTGCACCGATTCGTAAATCTCCTCCGTCTGACGACACAGCGTCCGGAATTCATCAATCAAGCACACCGTTTGCCGGCAGTTGGTGCAGATAGTTCGGATGCTATCTTCCGGGGAAACGAACACTCCCAGACAGTCTCGTATTTTGAACGGAAGACTTTCGTCATCTTCGGTGAAAATATTCTGAAAGCCTCGGTCCGCATCATCTTCTTCGTCTGTCCACTGCAGGCACAGCCGACATCGCGGTTCTGAATCGGTGGATGTTTCAGCTCCTTCTTCTGGTAAGGAATAGTCCATGTTAGAGGCTTCTCAGTACTTCGTTAAGCTGTGTGCATAATATAATGGTTCCACAATTCTTCAGCAAGTATTTGAAATTAAAATTTCCATAAGTGACGGTAAATTTTTTAAAAATTTCTAGCAATAGACAAAAAATGTTATCCGTAAACAAATTTCTGACTGTCAAGCAGAGTTTTTTCTTAACTCAAGTGTTGCCAAAATGTTCGCATTGCTTTCAGTGTTACAACAAGATATTTACATAGAGGTGGGATCCTGGGGTGATGTGAGCAGGGGTTCACTCTATTTCAAAACTACCCAAATTTGGGTAAAATCTACCCAGATCGGTCAACACTGAACCTACCCAAAAATGGGTAAATTATGTTAGGGCTGACAAGTTGATAAATGAACAAAGTCGATCGGATTCATGTCAATGTTGTTCATTTGTCAACTTGTCATTCCCAACACAGTTTACCCATTTTTGGGTAGGTTCAGTTTTGACCGATCTGGGTGGATTCTACCCAAATTTGGGTAGAACCTACCCAAAAATGGGAAAACATGCATTTACCCAAATCTGGGTAAACGTACCTGCGACAGAAACTAGGCAACGGTTACTCAGATGTTGACGTTTGATAACAGGGTAAACTTTATCAATTTTAATAGAAATTAGTGCAGTAGCTCTATCAAACATAACCTCACCCGACTAGCTCCTCTAGCCTGTTATAGTCCTCTCCAGGCGGGTTCGTATTGGTGCGATTTGCGTGTGTAAGTGAGATGGAATTTTTTGTTTGCTGTAAAAACTGTCATTCTAAAGTAAAAATAAACAACAAAACGAAAACAAACCCTACGCTTGCACGGTAACAGTCTAGTACCGTTTTGTGAGTAAAGGTTAACCCATTTTTGATAAAGGTGGCTTTACTCATTAATGAGTAAATTATTTTAACAACAATGAGTTTCTGCTAACAGTAGCTAACAGTTACTATTTGATTGGCATAATGAATTACTCATTAATTAGTGGTGCCGCTTTTATTGACAATGGGTTCACTTTTACTCATAAATGGGTATTTGATTCTTACCGTGCACATGACAGTATACGCAACAATCAATACGAAACTAACGATTTTAAATTGGCTCAACTTTAGCAGCCTATTGGTCCCAAGCAAACGATTAACGTACCCTATTCTAGTCGAAATTCTAGTACTACGCAATGTTTGTTTTGATTCGCTATGAAAGCTTGACAGATAAAATGAGGGGTTATTGGTTTTTCCTATGTTTCGAGGGGTGATTCGACAAGCTTGAGACCGAAGATAGTACCAGAGGTGAGCCAAAAAGTTGAGCACGTTTCTTCGGGACCTACTTGTCTTAGAGTTACCTCTATGGTATACGCTAGTGTGTGTAAAATTATGTTATTAGTGTAGTGTTCGTAAGATCCTGCTTGGAGAACTCAATTGATTGTTGAGTTCGTATTGTCGAAAAAATATATAACTACAGAATTCGACATTGAAATACCCAGAAAACGATACCGTTACAAATGCTAACCATTTATTGAGATTTTATTTTAAATGAGTTCTATAAATTAGGAACAACAACAAACATTTGGCATCGAGAAAAGCATCGCAGAATATCTCGATAACCTAGAATTAGGAGAATGTTCAAAGTCCAGAAACTAACAATATACTTACTTACGATAGCTGCTAGTAGCATTCGCCATGAAAACAATTCCATATCTGTAAATTGTTTAGCATCAGATTTATTTATTTTGAGCATTTAAACTTTCACTGGCAGCGGAACAATCTCCCTTTTATACCTGCACCATTTTTTACTTTAGGAAAACTTCGATTAGAATTATTTATCCAGAATCGGGATACATTCTACTCATCATAACAAAACTAGTTTACCCAGCTTTTGACAACTCCTTACTGGATACAAGAATGGGTGCCATCCACCCAGTCACAGATTTATAACATGTTATAGCGGTATCTTGATGGTGGTTTCTGTGTTGCAATTATTTGTCAACCGTTATAACTGCTTAGTCTGGACAGTGCTATCAACAATAAATACGAAACTAACTATTTTAAATTGGCTCACTACTTGACTAGCCTATAGGCGAATCCAATAGAAACTAAGCGATTGTTTCAGCCTCTGGCGGTGAATAGGGTAACCCTGAAAAGAGTGATGAGAGTGAAAATTTATCCACCGCATGCGTGCTTGAAATCATCATCCACGTGGAATATTTTGTTTTCTGTATCAGGTTTGCAGTGATCCGGCTGGTGCTTCCATATATTTTTGATGAGAAAAATTAGGATTTATAAAATTGTACCAGCGGTTATGATCTTCCGGATTTTTATTGTGTGGTTATTTCAGCTGCAAATCAGTTCAGATCCGTAGATAATCGAAAAATAAGACCACTCCCGATGAAAATTTGCAAGTTGTGCAATAAAATGTTCATTATTTTGAGTTTTGAAAATCGTCATTATGATGTAAACAAATGGATTGGATGACATTTACTCTCAAAATCGACTAGCGCATTCTACATTGATGGTGCATGAAAAGAGTTTATTGGTCCCAAGCAAACCGACTAACGTGCCCCATTCTAGTATAAATTCCAGTACTACACTATGTTTGTTTTGATTCGCTATGTTGATAGATTGTTTGATTCGCTATATTGATAGATAAAATGAGGTGATCGCGCACGGTCAGTACCCTTTCCTACGTTGTGATTTGATAAATAAAAGACTATGATTTCGACCGTCCTGCCATGGCAGAGGCAGATGATACCATAGAGGTAACTCTAAGACCACTGGGTCCCGAAGAAAATCATTATTATTTTTGGCTCACTCAGTACCAGAACAACGGTCCCAAGCAGTCCCAAGCTATTTCACTCACCCCTGCATGTTCTGCATGAATCCACACACCCCTGATGTTATCTGTCAAACTTTCATAGCGAATCAAAACAAACATAGTGTAGTAATAGAATTTCAACTAGAATAGGGTACGTTAATCGTTTGCTTGGGACCAATAGGCTACTAAAGTGGTGAGCCAATTTAAAATCGTTAGTTTCGTATTGATTGTTGATGATACTGTGTTATATTTATTGTATTCGTAATTCAGAGACAGCACATTACAGATAAACAGTAAGAACAAGTGGTGGTATTGGTGGTATTGTTAAGGTTGATATAATATACTTAGGGTCAAGGCGGTAAATGTCGCTTGCACGAACAGAGGGGTTAGTCGATTTTTCTATATTTCGAGGGGTGAATCGATTAGCTTGGGACCGAAGATAGTATCAGAGCTGAGCCAAAAAGTTGAGCTCGTTTCTTCGGGACCTTCTGGTCTTAGAGTTACCTCTATGGTGGTATCTTGATGGTGGTTTCTGTGTTGCAATTATTTGACAACCATTATAACATGTTATAAATCTCCAGTCTGGACAGCGTTTAAAGCACTGTCCAAATAATCGCACCAAAGAAACCACCATTAAGATAGCGATATAACTACAGAGAACAAACGTCCAACTTCCACCTGAAACTTATGTAATGATAAGTGGAAACGTCGCCGTTACGTAGCGCTAGTATCTTCTGATTTCCTCTATAAATTTTCCACTTTCGACCAATTTGGCGCTAGTATCGATAAATTTTCGGTTGAAAATTACCACTCGGCGTTACCGGCACTTAGTGTCTAGTGTATGTCGAGGCGAAGTCGAGGCACAGAGAACAGACATTGAGGCTCGAACAATTTTTTTCTTAAAACTTGTGTAAAGATTCCTATTCGAATTAAGCGCCACTAACGGCGACTTCCCCACTTAAAAAACCTCTTTGACAACATGATGGCACTGGCGTTGCAAAACTTTCACTAGACACTAAGTGTTGGTAGCGCCAAGTGGCAATTTTCAACAGATAATTTATCGATACTAGCGCCAAATTGACCGAAAGTGCAAAATTTATAGCGGAAATCAGGAGATGCTAGCGCTGTTCTCTGTGGTCGAGGTGTAAGTTGTGCAACGCCAGCGCCATCATGTAGTCAAAGAGGGTGATCGCGCACGGGCGGGATCCCTACGTTGTGTTTATGATCGTTGTGATAGGTACGGAGATGAAACTAATAAAACACACAGTTTGCTTGACCGTCCTGCCATGACGGAGGTATTCGAGACACTGATATATTGTTTATTTGTATTCGTTTGTATAGTAGCTACAGTGGGTAGGGTAGTTGTACATGTAGATGACGTAGCACAAATAGAGGGTTTTTAAGTGGCGAAGTCGGCGTTAGTGGCGCTTAAGTCGAATAGGAATCTTTACACAAGTTTTTACAGAAACTTAGTTCGAGTCTCAACTAGGGTTGCTTCTACTCACTTGCTATAAAAACATATTTTTCGGAATTATGCAATCATTAGATGATATAATGATATGTTGTACTTGTAAGTAACGAGGAGAGGGTTAAAGCACGTTAAAGTATGTGTTTGACTCATAAAACCTGTCAATTTCGCTTTCAGAGCGACACAATAAGCGATCTTATGATTCGTGAGCGTTCACTCAGATTGAGCACTCACGAGTCGTAAAATCGCTGATTGTGACGCACCCTGTGACGCACTGAAAGCAATATTGACAGATTTTATGTGTCAAACACATACTTTACGTCCTCATCTTCTAACTTACAAGTACTAACTATCACTATACCATCTCATGATTTCATAATTCTGAAAAACATTTTTTTAATAGCAAGTGAGTGGAAGCAACCCTGGTCTCAACGTCTGTTCTCTGTGCTATAACATGTTATAACTCTGTAGTCTGTTCTCTAATACAACCCACAGCGGTGCGTTCCCGGAAAAAATAACCATAACATTTATATAAAACAAAATACCATTACAAGCAAATCTATTGCCAACAATCGATCTTATTGTGCGTTTATAGTACACGAAATTTTAACATATATATTGCTATTACAATAGATGTACAATACGTCCCATTTAGTAAAAGTTTTCAACAATAGAACAGCAATACAATTAATGGTAAATGGCTCAAGTTTGTTCGGGAAAAAGGCATTTTTCGAAAGGTTAAGATACATAACAACCCCCTTGTTCTATTGTATATTCCCACATTTACCATAAATTCTATGTAGGAAACAATACATTCTATTGTTATTTTATCTTTGTGGAGAATACGATTAATTGTAAACACAATAAACTCTATTGTATGGTTATTGTACCTCTATAGGTTCTTTTTTTACGGGTTGCTATTCAGGCTGCTAGTTAAAGATTCTGCTGATCACTTTGTTTACTTTTGCTTTGATTTGTTATTGTTGAAGTTTTTACAGCTTGATCAACACGGAGAAACTCTCAAAAACACCCTCCGACTACGGGGCCCTAAATGAAAACAATGACTGTCTTTTTTCAACTTCAGAAAAATATTGAAATGCTCGATGAATTTTCGCGTCTCCCATTCGAAAGCCTTTACTGTAAATGTGGCTGATGCACGTGCATTTGAGTACATGTAGTAGTGAGGTTGCTCATACAGACAGAGTGATGCGGCCGCCGATGAAAGATGTAAACAAGCGAGTGCAACAGGTGTTTCTAGTTCGATTTACCCGATCTAACGGTGAATAGTGAAAAAATCCAATAATTTTATTGAGTAGTTAATCTGTTGTTGTTAATTGCATTAATTGTTGATGGAATAAATCAAATTCAGATTCTAAATATAAATAAACACGACCTTGAACTAGAGACGCCATTCGGCCTTTCGAATGGCTGCCATGGAAACGGTTTGTGTGTAAACAGTAATGCTTTTATGAATGAAAGTACTGTTATCCGTTTCATTCCGAAGCTCCGACCTAACTAGCGTATGGTTTGATCGATAGAATTTTTCACTGTTTGACCAAAACCCGTCCTGGTGGATTAAAAACGAAACAATGACACTCTACTTCGATAGTAAAGTCCAGTTTCTGGACAGTGAAGCGATAAGTACCGTTAGCTGTTGGCATCCGAACGAGGCGATCTTCGCGGTTGCCTCGTACAGCAACGAACGCGGCGGATCCGTCACCATCTTCGACGATACGGTAAGTTCCGGTTGTTTTGCGGAAATAACTCATTTTGAAGGACGAACTATCTCACGCAGGGAATCCCGCTGCGGAACGTGACCTACCCGGTGCACTCGACGTCGCAAGCCACGGTTCTCACCTGGCATCCGGAGAAGAAGATTCTGCTGAGTGGTTGGGAAAATGGTGAGATTCATGCATGGTTCGAGGGGAAGCGGGATTTCACCACCATCAATGGACCGCACAAGTCGCCGATAATGCTGCTGGAGTTTAGCGAGAAGGGTGGACGGGTCATCACGGCGGATGCCATGGGAGTGCTGACCGGTTGGCGGTACGATGGGCACGGGCAGTTTTTGACCATGTTCAATCACGATTTGCGGGATCCGCTGTTGCATATCACCTTTCGGAAGTCATTCGAGAGCGCCAGCAATCGAGAACTGACCAATCTGGCTAAGTGAGAACAAGGGGGTCGTTGTGATGGTATGGATGATTGTAAGGAAAAAATATTTTTTTCTAGGGCGGCAGTGGCAGGGGACGAGGCAGCGTTGGACACTTTGACGACTTGGAGACCAAGAACGGCAGTTCGGAATTTGGGGCATTCAACATTGCAGGATAACTATTGCTTCTATGCTTGCACGCAAACGGGTGTGCTGTACTATATCAATCAAACCGGAACGTGTACGGAAATCGTTCGGGGGGAGAATATTCCGATCATACAGATTCTGTGGCATCCGAAGCAGTATGTAGTATAATTTGGTTGGTGAAATATGCCTTTCTTTGACGAAAACATTTTTTTTAAAGGGATTCCATTGTGCTTCTGTTGGAGGACATCACCATCGGTCACTACGAGGTGGATAATAGTGGTCAAATTATTGAACTGGATCGAGTTAAGCTCTCTGGCTCGGTGAATGTATCTGGCTATAAAAGCGCCATCACTTGGGTGGCGGGCGTTGGAGCCGCTTTGGCTATTCTTACTGGCGATCTATCGGTCAGAATATGGGACATTGAAAGCAATGACAACTACGTACTATCAATGGATCTGAACAGTGGGTTAGCTCCCGCTGGAAGTAACATTCTATCCAGAAATCCTGTGGTTGAAGTCTTTACCTGTGTTTCATACTGTAAAGACAACCAAACGCTGAGTGCGGGGACCAATCAAGGAAATTTATACACCTGGCGACGTTTAAATATCAACAGGTCGTACGACTATCCGGAGAACCAGTGGCAGCTAACGAACGTGACGCCGGTTCGGGGAACGATTAAAAGCCTCACCTGGGGCATTACGGACACAAATCGACCCTGTATGATGGTAAATTGCCTGTCGAATGTGTTTATTCTGAAGGAACAAGCATTGCTGGCCTGCCACACCCGAGCCTTGTGGGCCACCCAGAAAAAGTCAAACGAATTAGTACTGGTGCAACAGCAGAGCGCTTCCCACTCCACTGGCGGTGGCGAAGCCGAGCGGCGACGGACAACCGTGATGAAAAGCGATAATTCTATCATCCATCTTGCGCTGAGCGAGATAAATCTTGTCGTAACGAATGGTCGCACGGTGGCCGTCTATCGGGTGGGTGGCGGTGGCGGCGGTGGTGGTAGTTCAGCGTCGTCGTCCATGGTGGCTGCAAGCGGTGACGAAGACGCCGATGCACTATCCATCACGCATGCTGGCAGCTTCGGCGTTGATTGTGTGGCGATATACCTCTACGAGCAGAACGTGGTGGCCCTTGGGGCGGAGCAGGTAAAGATTTACTCGCTCAGCGGGGTTGTTCTGCAGGAGATATTTTTCAACGACAATGAAGGTAAGAGCAGTGTTGGGTAAGATTGGTTTATTTGGGATTGTTGTAGCTTAGCCTAATAAAAAAAACTGCTCGTACGACACAAGCATCACACATTGTGAATTGTGTAGGTGACCTTTGTTGCTAAAAGGAGAACACGACATTAGTTACACCCGAAATGGACTCAAAGAATATTTCAAATTTTCAAGTTATTTACAGTTGTCAGTAGAGCAAAAAAAAATACCAGCTTTGATTCCATTCCTCCGACTAAATACCGCTTTAGAATGAATACGATTGGCTTAAAAAATCTCTTAAGAAACGCGCTGAAAAACAGACTTTGACTCAAAAATCATTTTGAAATTCACCTTCTGAATATCCCTCCCACAGGCAAACCAATCGGAGCGGATCTGCTCGGTCATTTCCTGACCATTTTCACCCTGAACGGCTACCTGAAGTTGTTCGACATTTCCCGGCACGAAATGAAGCTGGTTCAGCCGCCGAAGTGCGCGTACGATCTGTTTGAAAAGTTTGGCGAAATAATTTCGGCCAAAGCGAACGCCACCGGGACGCACCTGGCTCTGACCATCGCGAACGAACAGCTCCTTCCAGATGGGAAGCTCTACCTGTGGAACTTGGAAAGCAACAACATCAAGTACTACGAATTTTCCAGCCGAACCGGCGGGGACAACGTGATCCAGCATCTGCCAATCAACTTCTTCTGGGACACGGACGATCCGCGGATGCTGGCGTGTGAAACGAAGCCCATCCCCGGACAGGGCCAGAAGGCAATGGGGAAAGGCAACAGTATCCCGGAGTCGCAGATAAATATACTGTTCGTCGACCAGAAGTCGCAAGTCAAGGAGCTGGAGTTGATTGAGTTGAGCAGCGGAGAGCAACTGATCAACCTGTGCATTCCGCAGGTTGTGATTTTGAAACTCAATCAAATCGAACGGATTCCCCTTAGGGATTTCAAGGGTTTGGAAGATTGCGACTTGACTACCAGGAATATGGTGCTGAATTTCAGCTTGAATGTAGCTCAGGAAAATATGGACCAGGCGTTCAGTTGCATTCGATCGCTCAAGTCGGACACGGTTTGGACAAATTTGGCCAAGCTTTGCGTACACACGGGACGGTTGGACGTAGCCAAAGTCTGCTTGGGCCATTTGAAGCGGGCCCGATCGGTGCGGGCTTTACGTAAAGCCTTAGAAGATGTCACCTTGGAGAACGAATGCAGAGTCGCGGTTTTGGCGATTGAATTGGGAATGATTTCGGATGCGGAAGCTCTCTACAAAAAAGTCGGACGGTACGATCTTCTGAACAAGATGTACCAAGCTGCGGGGCGATTCGATGAAGCATTGGAAATTGCCGAACACCTAGATCGGGTGCACCTGAAGAATACCTATCACAAGTATGCCGAATGGCTGAAGGAAAATGGTCAAACGCAGAAAGCCATTCAGTACTACGAGAAGACGAACAACTTGATGCACAATGTCAGTCAGCTGCTCATAGACGACCCGGCAGCGCTGAAGAAGTACATGCAAAGTACGAAGGATCCGGAACTGTTGAAGTGGTGGGCACAGTATATCGAAAGCAGTGGAGATATGGAGGGAGCCTTCAAGATCTATCAAAAATCGGAGGATTGGTTCTCTCAGGTGAGGATCTTGTGTTTCATTGGACAAGTGGGAAAGGCTGACGAAATTGCTCGAAACAGTGCAGATCGAGCAGCTTGCTACCACCTGGCTAGGTACTACGAAAATAGTGGAAAGTTTTCGGAAGCGATTCAGTTCTACACGCGAGCGCAAACATACGGGAATGCGGTCAGGATTTGCAAGGAAAATGACCTGCAGGACGATCTATGGACCGTAGCTTGTACGGCTCGACCGCGGGACAAGGCCTCGGCTGCGGGTTATTTCGAGGAGAACGGTGACTACCGCAGAGCAGTGGAGCTGTACCATCGAGCAGGAATGCTGCACAAGGCCGTGGAAATGGCTTTCAAGTCACAACAACCGGAGTCTCTGCAGGTCATTGCTTCGGAACTGGATGCCAACTCCGACCCGGAACTGGTTACGCGTTGCGCTGAATTCTTCATTGGTATCGAGCAGAACTACAAGGCGGTTCAACTGTTGGCGAACGCTCGGCAACTGGAGAAAGCTCTGCAGGTAGCCGCAGAGCATTCGGTACCGTTGACGGAGACTTTGGCCGAGCTTTTGACTCCCGCCAAGGAAGAGATTCCCGACGAGCTGCGAGTGAAAATTCTAATCAAACTCGGTGAGATTCTCCAGGAACAGGGAGACTACCATTCGGCTACGAAGAAGTTTACCCAAGCTGGAGACAAAATTCGGGCGATGAAGAGTCTGCTGAAGTCAGGCGATACGGAGAAGATCATATTCTTTGCGGGTATGTCCCGTCAGAAGGAGGTCTACGTGATGGCGGCTAACTATCTGCAGGCTTTGAATTGGCAAAGTGATTCGAAGGTGTTGAAGAACATTGTTACGTTCTACACCAAAGGGCAGGCCTACAACCAACTGGCGAATTTCTACGCGAACTGTGCCCAGGCGGAAATTGATGAATTCCGTGACTATGATAAGGCGTTGAAAGCTCTGCAGGAAGCGGGCAAGTGTTTGTCGAGGGCTACTCCGCCGTCGCAGAAGATCAACGAAACTCTACAGGGCGCTATGATGGATGTGAGGAAGGTGATTGACTTGCAGGATGCGGTTGAACGGGGGGAATTCTTGGCTGCGATCAAGATACTGAAGGTGAAGCTGGAAGAACAAATTGCTCCGCCGGTTCGGGTTTGGGACCTGCTGGCCTTGCTGGTGGAGTGTTTGGTGTCGACTAGCCAATACTCAGAGGCGTTGTACTATTTGAAACAGCTGACGCAGAAGAAATCCGACTGGTACCAGCAGGAGTTGATCGAACGGACGCTGCTGGATAAGCTGGTTGCCGAGACCGGGATAAACTTGGAACCGTACGTAAGTGCGGGCAGGGTTCAGCGGCCGCTGACCTCGTCGACGGTGACCATCGACAGCGACGAGGAGGAGATACAGGAGGAGTTTGACCAGTAGGTTTTCGATGGTTGTGTGGATTAAAGGTGTGAATTGCACGTTATTTGTAGGAAATGGATTTGATTGTATTGCTTAGTTGATGACAGCCATGTTCGAGCAGTTTCTTAAGCAAGCACCACACGCACAGTGGGACGAAATCAAACATGTGGGACATGGTCATTTGCGACGAAACTATTAAGTGTAGCATTTTGATGTCTTCTAGAATATGTCTTCATTTTCGAGTACTTTATTTGAGTGGTGATTTTTTTTTATATTTATATACACACAAATAAAAAGAAAATATTTTCTGTTAAAATTGATGAACATTTATGGAAACATTATAGATAAAGTCGTTTTAAGAAAGACAATTGTCTATCTCTCAAGTGGACGAAGTTATAGGGGGAAAATGGAGTACAAACGGAAGTACCCCCTAAAAAACCGTTTTTTCCCATAACTGTTTTGTTTGAATTGATCTATTTTTTAAATGTTCTACAAAGTTGTAGGTGTTTTGAAATCGCTATCTCTTCATTTAAAGGATTTACATCCCTATTTACAATTTTTAACACTATCTTTGAGGGGGTGTTGAACGGTTGTGAGATAACGAAACCTCTTTAATTAATATTTGCCACTAAAAATAATCATATTTTATTATCTAAATTAAACTGGCTGCACTTTTCGAAACGAACAACAGAAAATAAACTGAACATTGTATACGACGGACGCATTCTAGTGTTTCTCTCGCGAAAACCATCACATTCCGAAATCGTATTTTGAACCAGTGAGCTATCGTGGAACATTTTGGTCCGTTCTCCCGGATGACCGGAGGAATGGTGATGGTCCTCGCGATCGAGCGGTTCGGAAAAGTGTTGTTTAGCACCGTGTGCTGAATTCGGCCCAAGGCCAAGAAAAAAAAACAGAAGCGTGGTGCCCAAGGCTACAGCGAGTGTGTGCCCGTGGCATAGGTGAAATCGGTCCGAGACCGAGAAGAATAACAGTGGTGCTGAGCGCAAGGCTACGCCACTAGTGAGAGCGAGTGTTCGTGACACGTCGAAATTAGGTGCAAAGTCAAGAAGAACGGTGGAAAGTGGCCCAAGGCTACGCCACAAGTAACAGTGTGTGTCCGAGGCACGAAGAAAAGTGACGCCATTTTGGCTAAAAACCAAATCGAAACCGTGTGAGCACGAAAATCGCCATTTTGTTGGCTAGTGAAAACATCGTCGCAATCGAACGATGTAAACAATAATAGAACCTGCAAACAAAAAGAAAATAAACAGTGCGTCAGTGCAATTCATATTGCCGTCGGAAAAACAAACAGTACGTGAATGTCCCATTCGGAAACTCCGCGTGGAAACGTTTCGGGAGTATCTCGCCGGAATATTTTGGATGCTCTAACGGGTAGCAGCAGCAAAAATCTACTGCAGTCGGTTGCCGATCAGAAAACGGTGAAGAAGAAGAAAGAAGAGAATATCATCATGGAGAAAAATCTGGAAGTGCTATACGATCGGCGCGATATGCTGGTTGACAAGCTGTTGCGGATGAACGAGACGCTGCGAACAGAGCATGTCAACATTCATTTGCTCCAGCTCCAGTTGGAAACACTTCGTAGGTGTGCTGACGACTACGAGAGAATAAATGCGGATATTTGTGCCATGCTTCCTAGGGATGAACGTGCTGAGCAACGGATAGAGTACGCTACTTTCGAGGAGCTGCACAATCAGCTGTATATTTGTCTAAACACGAAGATCGATGCAGTTTCCTCAGCGACAAGCCAAAACCAGGTTGCTGTACCGCAACCGCCGGTGTACGTGCAACAGCAAGTGCCGCAACTACATGCACCATTTCCCAGTTTCGACGGGAATCCAGAAAATTGGTATAGCTTCAAGAGCCTGTTTTCCAGTATCATGGCTAGGTATGCGAACGAAACTCCGGCGATGAAGATTCTGCATCTGCGAAACTGCTTGACTGGTGAGGCGAAGGACAAGATTGACCAGGATGTTGTAAACAACAACGATTACGACATGGCCTGGAAAATCTTCAAAGATGCGTACGAGGATAAAAGATTGATTATGGACACGCATATCGATGCTATTCTCGACTTTCAGAAGATCAGTAAGGAAAATCGCGGTAAGTCAATCTCGAAGCTGGTCGAAGTTTGTGCTAAGCATGCTGATGCATTGAAGGGCCATGGTTACGTCGTGGAAGGATTATCCGAGCTGATCATCGTAAACGTTCTGTATAAGAAGCTGGACAGAGAGACTCAAGAACATTGGGAGTTGAAATTGGGCACCGGCAAGATGCCAGTATTCAAGGAGTTCATGGATTTTCTGAGGGAAATGGGACGCGTTCTGCAGCGGACTAATCGCTCACAGCAGCAAACGTCACAGCAGTCAACCGTCCTAAACGCCAAGCGTTGAACCAGAAGCAGTCAGCTCCAGTTTCGTCGAGATCGTTCGTCCAGACCACCAAGGAGAACTGCCCTTGCTGCAGAGAAGAGCATACTATATACAAGTGCACGAAGTTCCAGGAGCTTAGTGTGGGGGAGCGCAAATCCATCGTCACTAGGGCGAATTTGTGCTTCAATTGCTTGAAGTCCAAGCACCGAGTTGCTGACTGTCCGTCCGAACAAGGATGCAAAATCCGAGGGTGCGGTCGGAAGCACCACAGCTTGCTTCATCCCAGCGATGTATAGAAAGAATCCAGTGAACCTGAAAAGCCGCCACCAAAGCCGGTGGAGCAACCGGAGTCGTCAGGAAACAGTCCACAGAAAGAAATAGCAACCACGTTGTGCACTCACAGCGGTACGGTTAAGCGACACGTGCTTTTGTCTACAGCGGAGGTGTTGGTGGTGGGAAAAGGAGGTACCACTATCAAATCTCGAGCGCTATTGGATTCAGGGTCCGATAGTAACATCGTAACGGAAAAGCTAGCATCCAAGCTAAATCTGAAGCTGCATCAAGTCGATCTGCCTATCAGTGGCCTCAACGATATCCAGACACGAGTTAAGTATATCGTTAGCACGAACATCGTTTCGCGCGTTAATTCTTTTTCCTCGTCCATTCTAGACTCCCTGGTCGTACCGAAGGTGACATCCAACCTACCAATCACTGAAGTGGATTACCGATCCTGGCTGCTACCAGCAAACGTCAAGCTAGCTGACCCATCGTTCCACAACCCCGGTGAGATTGACCTAATCATCGGCAACGAGATTATTATTATTATTATTTAGCTTTATTTAGGAGGCATCGGCAACGAGATCTTCTTCGATCTGATCAAGCAAGGTCGTCTAAAACTGGGTAAGAACGAAGCGACATTGACAGAGACGGAATTAGGATGGGTCGTAGGAGGATCAGTACAGATCAGGAAGTCCAAGGAATGCTTGCGTGTGTGTCAACTGAACCACCAAGACGAGTTCGAGATGGCAAGCAAACGTTTGGACAAGCTATTGATTTCTTTGGCCAAGGACCCGGCCAAACGCGAACAGTACTTCGGATTTATGGCTGAATACCTGTCGCTCGGCCATATGGAGGAGATCACCGAGGACACCCGATATGGATACTACATACCACACCACGCCGTGTTCAAGGCCACGAGTTCCACAACAAAGGTTCGCGTGGTATTTGATGCCTCGGCCAGCACGACATCAGAAGTTTCCCTGAACGACACGGTTTGTGTGGGACCGACAGTCCAAAGCGATCTGCAGACAATCATTCTTCGGTTCTGCGCGCATCCGGTGGTATTAACGGCAGACGTGCCTAAAATGTATCGCCAGGTTTGGCTGAGCAAGAACGACCGCAAGTTCCAGAAAATAGTGTGGGTGGATAAAAACGGCGTACGCAAGGTGTACGAATTGAAAACAGTGACGTACGGGGTGGTTAGCTCACCGCATCATGCTACAAAAGCGCTAATTCAGTTGGCAACGGACGAAGGCAAGGATTTCCCGTTAGCTGAACAAGTGATCCGGTACGACAGTTACATCGACGATTTCCTAACTGGTGGAAAGTCTGCGGAGGAGGTGTTGAAGATCTATCGCGAGCTAACGTCGCTGTTGCAACGTGGAGGATTTGGCGTCCACAAGTTTTGTTCAAACAATCCCGAAGTACTGAAGGCAATACCAGAGGAGCTGCAAGAGAAGTTCGTTAGTTTTGAGGATACTGGAATCAATAACACGATAAGGACACTGGGTTTGATTTGGAACCCGCTTGAGGATTATTTTGCATTCTTCATCCAGCCGATCAGTGAACATACGTCGTCGACGAAGCGAATGGTACTGTCCGATATCGGTCGCCTATTCGATCCCCTGGGGTTCCTGGGACCGGTAATAACAGCAGCCAAATTGGTGATGCAGAATATATGGCGTCTTGGCTTGAACTGGGATGAAGAGCTACCGGAAGAATTGCTGCAGGAGTGGACTACGTTCAGGCAACAATTGCCTGTCGTCAACGAAATGCACAAACAGCGCTGTGTGATCCCCGAGAACGCAGTACGAATCGAGTTGCATGGATTTTCGGACGCTTCGATGCGGGCCTATGGAGCGGTCATGTATACCAGGTGTGTCACAGCGGATGGCACGATTAGTGTGAACCTAGTTGCAAGCAAATCGCGAGTGGCTCCACTAAAACCGATGACGATTCCCCGGTTGGAATTATGCGGAGCAAAACTACTGGCGGACTTGACAACGAAAGTGGTTGCTTCGATGAGAATTCATTTCGACGATGTGAAGTTGTGGTGCGATAGTTCCATCGTATTGTGCTGGCTCAAAAAGTCACCGTCGGCACTGAATCAATTTGTCTCGAATCGGGTGGCAACAATCGTGGAGTTGACTCAAGGTTATCAGTGGAACTACATCCGATCGGAGAGCAATCCTGCTGACGTGATTTCAAGAGGTGCATCACCGGTAGACTTGTTGGTCTACGATCTCTGGTGGAAAGGTTCACCACATCTACAGCAACTGGAATTGCAAGCAGGCGTAGCTGACGAGGTTCTTGAAATACCGGAACTCAAAACAGCGACAGTACTAGCAACTGTTATAGAGGGCATTGGAATCAGACTGGATCGTGTAAGCGACTACCGTAAACTACAGCGTGCCTGGGCGTTGTCCTGAGGTTCATCGACTACGTGGTGCACAAGAAGCGTGACGTCACAAGTATCAGCGCCAACGAAGTTACCAGTGCAGAACGAGCAATGTTCTTGGTCCTTCAAAAGGAAGTGTTCGGTGATCTACTGAAAGGGCTGAAAGCTGAATCAAGCAAACGGCACGGTCTATCCAACTTAGCACCGTTCATCGGACTGGACGGACTCATCAGAGTGGGCGGTCGGCTGAAATACTCGGCGATACCATACGACGGTAAGCACCAAGTGCTACTGCCGGCAAAACACCATGTCACGGAGGCATTGATCCGGAAACTACACGAAGAAAACCAGCATGTGGGACAAGGCGGACTGTTATCCATCGTCCGTGAACGGTATTGGCCCCTACGGGTGAGCAGTGGCGTCGAGGACGTATAGTGGCGACCCATCCTGGTGAAGACGGAGCCGTTCGAGTGGTCACGGTCCGGACGGCGACGAGCGAGTACAAGCGGGCGGTGACTAAAATCGCTATGCTGCCTTCTGTTGAGCCACAGGCCTCAACGGGGGGAGAATGAACGGTTGTGAGATAACGAAACCTCTTTAATTAATATTTGCCACTAAAAATAATCATATTTTATTATCTAAATTAAACTGACAGCACTGTACGAAACGAACAACAGAAAATAAACTGAACATTGTATACGACGGACGCATTCTAGTGTTTCTCTCGCGAAAACCATCACATTCCGAAATCGTATTTTGAACCAGTGAGCTATCGTGGAACAGGTGTATCTGGCAGGTTAGCTAATCTCAACGTAATTTCGTTCAGCAACTTATACCCTACTGTCACATCCACGGGGATGCCTAATGAATTTTCTAATAAAGTAGCTCAATGTTTTGTTTCGTTTTGCTGTTTTCATGACCATTTTTCCAAGTAGCTACATTAGGGTACAAACTTCATTCATCCCCATTTGAATACCTTCGTTGCTTTGACCTGATATCTCTCTTTCTTGCTTCTTGCGTTTCACAATCTTTAGCTACGTTTATGATGATTGAACTTGATAGCTTGCAGATCGACGAGAATACTGCAGCATCGTTCACAAGATGATCGCTTGATCCGGAATCTAGCTTGAAGACCAGTCGTTCGTCGTGACTTCGATTCTTCCCGAAACGAACGGCGAAACATAAATAACAACCTAGTTTCCTACGGTGGTGTAGGTAGGGATAAATCCGGATTGCTTACTAGATTACAGTCAGATTATTTGTGGATTATCAATTTCCTTTGAAAATTTTGTCAAACGCCTTACACAACAACTTCCAGTGGTAAAATCCTGATCCTTTGATGTGCTTAATTAAATTTAAACCAGTTTTTACTTGCTGTGGAGGTTGGGGAGGTTAAGGAAAAGTAGTTAACATAATAACACCTTTCGTCGTGTTGGTTGATCTTTCCGGAAGCCCCAGAGACGACATTATTTTACACCCTCGGGAGTGTCACCTTTCTAGTCAGACAGACAAACAGGCAGAAGTGCCACAGTTAGTGTACCGTGGAGAAACATTTGCCTTTCTTGCTCTAATCTTACTTTTCAAAAGGAAACCGAGCATAAGATGTTTGCCCAAGGCAGATATGAGTTGATAGTAGGTACCTGGTACATGGTAGGCAGTGGCGCCGAGAGGGGAACGAGAAAAGTTTTTATTTGTCTTAACAGCTCCAGTCTCCCCATCAATTTGCTTCTGTAGCATACTACTCTCCCCGGGTAGCAGTCGTTCTGATGTGGTTTCGGTTGATGATGAAAGTGGAATCTTATAAACAAGTTTTCTTATTTGATGAGAAATGTGAGATTGAATCCACCGCCGCCGGCGGTGGTGTGGCGGTTGGAATCAGAAATGCTGGGAATACTTGCTAAGGGACCCAAAGTGAGCAACAATACTCCTGCTAGCTACGGTCTGTTAGGTAGTTGGGGGTTTTCCAATTTTGGGAATCGCTGCACATGTTCTACTGGGCCCGATGGTTCACCATGAATCCATGAATGGGTTTCACGGACAACGAGAACTATGCGGGTTTACTCCATTAATTCCGCCAATTAGGTTCTTTAATTATGGAGATCGAATCATCCATAAATCCTCCCTACTGCTCCTGCTGCTGCAGTGCTTCAATCAAGAGCGTTGTTGTTTCCAGCATTATGGTTTTCATTGCAGCAACTGAAGCAGCAGCAGCCAGTTCAACGAAAAATGCAGCAAAAGTTCAATGAGAAGCTTTCGAGCTTCGAGTGAAACTATTCAAGCGGATCTCCCCCTCACTGAGTTTTCATTCCGATGTGATGTGTCTATCCACCTAAAAGAAAGATGAGACACAGATTAGAAATACCTATTACTATAAATAAAAATTAAATTATGTCACGCTATCAGGCCTTTTCTGCGCGGCTTGTGAGATTAGGTAAGTCGCTGTCACTAGCGCAGTGACAATGGTCACCTCGGGTGAGGTGAGTCTCCGTACATATCAAACGGAGTGTCACCTCACCATCACTTCACTGTCACCTCACCTCACACGCCGCGCAGAAGGAGTTCAGGATAAAATCGACAACTGAAGCGAAGTACGTGGCTTTAACGTGCAGAGTCAAGAAGGCTTTCTGCAGCTAATCACGTTTGTTATAATTTTAAAATGACAGCAGGGCTGGTAGCGAGTCACTTTTTATTGACTTGTGAAGACAAAGCTGAATCAAATCGATTGAAGAGTCCAATCATAGTAGTCTAGAAAATAAGTTGATATCAATAAACCCTGTTTACATTAGTTACTCGACACCTACGGTTGTCTTTATTTATCCTTTGTACCATCGGCGTACACATCAGAAGAATATGTTGCCTGGTAGGTCATGATTTGTAGCCATACGAAAGTAACAAACTGAAAATATTTTGTCAGTTTAGTTCCAACCACCGAAGAGACAAGTCGAAATATAATTAGCTCTTAAACCTAAAACTAGTTTCCTTCTCTTTGAAAACACAACATATTTTGGCGACGAGGTAAAGTTCCTGCGATTTTCCGGAAGTAACATCAAGCTCTGTTCCTGTTTTACCGTTAAAGCCCTCAAATCACTACGAAATCAAGAATGTCCGACAACTATCTGAAGCAAGCTATTCTCTGGCTGACGGAACTGATTGCCAACCAGCAGCAGCAGATTGGAGCCCTTCAACAGGTCAACGCCAATCAAGTTGGAAGCGAGAAGATCATCGAGTCACTCTCCACCGGAATTGACGAGTTTCTTTATGATCCAGACGGAGGACTATTTTTCGAATCGTGGTACGCTCGATACGAGGACGTATTCAAGGAGGACGGGAAGCTCCTGGACGATAAAGCTAAGGTCAGGCTGCTTCTGAGGAAAATCGGCACGCAATTCCACGAACGCTACGTGAACAGCGTTTTGCCGAATCATCCACGGGATTTTGTGTTCGAAGAAACCGTCAAGAAGCTCTTCGGATGCCAAAAGTCCCTCTTTAACGGATGTTATCAGTGTTTGCAGTACATCTAAAACGACGCTGGTGATTTTTCGTCGAATGCAGCGTCGGTGAACAAGCACTGTGAAGCGTTCCAGATCGAGAAGCTCTTCAGCGACCAATTCAAACATGGCTGAGGAGTGTAACCGCATTATCAACCTCAAGCAGGATACGAAGATGATCGAGAAAGGTTGCTTAGATAGATCTCAACAAGTACGAAGGAGAAATTACCAAAAACACCTTGCTGGTTCTGTGGGGATTTACACTATGTTAAGGAGTGTCCCTATCAGTCTCGTACCTGTGTGAACTGCAAGCGGAAGGGCCACAAGGAAGGTTACTGCTCATCATCCGAAAAGAAGCCAGCAAAGAAGGTCGATAAACCGAAACCTAAAGACTTCGTCAACGAAGAACCGAAAGTATGCCAAGATCGAAATCAACGACTCAACAGCGACATTGCAGCTCGATTGTGCTTCCGACATCACCATTATTTCCAAGCAGACTTGAATTGCCGTGGGTAAGCCTGTCATCAATTCTACGGAAGTCATCGCCGTGAGTGCATCAGGTGACAGCATCGACATCCTGGGTGAGTTCAACGCCGAAATCACCGTTCAAGACGTAACAAAGGAAGGCCACATTTTCGTCACAACAAACCCGGATCTCAACGTTCTCGGTATCGAAACAATCGATCAGCTCGATCTCTGGTCGGTCCCATTCAACTCGTTAGTGAACACCATACAACACAACTCAAACGCAACCATGCAATCCTTGCAACTCAAGTTTCCTGAAGTGTTCCAGACCTCGCTCGGATGCTGCACAAAATAACAGGTAACGCTCTACCGGAGGCCAGATTCTCGTCCTGCGCATTGCCTTAAGAGACCGATTGCCTACGCTGCACTTCCGAAGGTTGATGCTGAGCTCCAAAGGCTTCAAGACAACGGCATCATTTCACCAGTCAAGTTCTCCGATTGGGTTGCTCCCATAGTTGTGGTTCGCAAGTCCGATGTCTCCGTACGCATTTGTGGTGACTACTCTACAGGTCTCAACGTGCCCTCGAGTCAGATCGCCTACCTGCAGGTCGAAGTTGAAGAAGCATCTCGAAAGCTGCTCACTATAAACACTCATAAAGGACTGTTCCAGTACAATCGATTGCCACCACGAGTCAAATCTGCGCCTGGAGCGTTCCAGAGGATCATTGACAGTATGGTTGCTGGCAGTCTAGGTGTCAAGCTATACCTGGACGACCTCTTGATCGATGGAAAAACTCAACAGGATCATGATCGCAGCTTGAACGCTGTGCTTGACCGGATTCGTGAGTATGGCTTCCACTTACGCATCGAGAAGTGCCGGTTCTCTCTTCCGCAGATCAAGTTTCTGGGTCACATAATCGATAAAGATGGTCTCCGCCAAGATCCTGCTAAAACCAACGCTATATCCCAGATGCCACCACCGATGAATGTATCGCAACTATAACGTACCTTGGTGCGATCAACTAGTACGGACGATTCGTTGGCCAGAGGAAGGAACTTCGAGCGCCGCTTGACCATCTACTAAAGAAGGATGCTCCTTGGAAATGGACCGCGGACTGCCAAAAGTCGTTTGACCGTTTCAAAACCATCCTGGTCTCCGATCTCTTGCTGACTCATTTCGACCCCAACAAGGAAATCATCGTCGCTGGAGACGCTTCCAAGAATGGTTTTGACGCTGTAATCCTACATCGCTTCTCCAACGGCTCCGTCAAAGCCGTCGCTCACGTTTGGAGGTCGCTGACACCTGCAGAAGAAAACTATGCTCAAATTGAGAAGGAAGCGCTCGCGTTGGTATTTGCTGTCACCCGTTTTCACAAGATGATATTCGGACGAAAATTCGTGCTGCAGACCGACCACAAACCGCTCCTTAAAATTTTCGGCAGCAAGAATGGCATTCCCGTTTACACCGACAATCGTCTTCAGCGTTGGGCGCTAACGATGCTACTTTATGATTTCGACATCCAGTTCATTTGAACGGCTAGTTGATGAGCTTTCACAGCAAACCAGACGAGGAATACGTGATTGCTGCTCTCCAAACGGAATCTGAGGTGGAAGCAATTCTCGTAGATTCAATATCCAGCTTGCCGGTCACATACGATGGACCATTTCAACAGCGTGAAGAAAGAACCCGTTGACTTCCAGCTTGGCTGGCACCCTACGATCTCTTTTGAAAAAAGAGAGATGTACCATCGGCGTACACATCAGAAGAATATGCTGCCTGGTAGGCCATGATTTGTAACCATCTGAAAATATTTTGTCAGTTTAGTTCCAACCACGGAAGAGACAAGTCGAAATCTAATTAGCTCTTAAACCTAAAATTAGTTTCCTTCTCTTCAAGAACACAACATCCTTCCAACAGGTTATGGACCTTTGCTTGATTAGTGTGATACCATAGCAACCGAAAAACAAGAGTAAACATTTTCAAGTTCATGTTTCAAGAATTTTTCTGTTCATGCTGTTAATGTTTGAAGAAATTCAAATATCAAAGCAAAATGGAACGATTGGGCACTATCAAGCTTAATAGAACCAATTATTCAACTTGGAAAACGAAAGTAGAATTCCTGCTGATCCGGGATGACCTCTGGAAATGCGTAACTGGGAAACGATACTTAAAAGTACACATACTCAATTTATGGGTAAATTAAAAATGAATACATGTTACCCATATTCTCAGCGTTCTCTCATGTAGCGTATTTTTTAGTTACTCGAATATGTTTGTGTTTGTGGGTAACAGTTGCTCATTTGTGCGTTACTCGATTATCCGGAAGCTTGAGCAAAATTTCGCTCCGGATAATCGAGCCATCTTTTTTTTTTCGTTGCCGCTTATCAAGGACAGTTTAATAGATGATGAAAATTAATTACACTGGGCTTATGTGCTCAAATTGAACGTTTTAAAATTATGTACCTCCCTCCCCTTGGCTAGTTTTTTAACCTGGACGTTGGTGGGCGGGCCTAATCTTATGCTTCATAGTGAAGCGTTGGAGACGGTTGGTTTAGGTCCGGCATCGTTGGCTCATGCCGTGACAGGATAGCGTCATGAGCATGCGATGAGGATTACTGAGCTTCCCCTCTCTGATGAACCATTGCATAAGAGAACCAAAGTTCTAGCCTGAAGTGATAGTATCACACTTGTTACTCCTTTATTTGAAAGCCGCGTTGTAGTACGCTTACGTATAGGCACTGACGTTGGGTGCGATACTGGCGGGTTTTGCCGCAAATCACTCTTATTTTATTTATTTTTACGCAGATAGATTTATTTGGGTTTGCAAGGGAATTATACTATTGAAATATCTCAGAAAGTGCCCAACAGTGCTCCTTCTATTTGCGTGACAAGCTTTCATTGTTGTTTTCATTGAGGTATTACTCAGGGAACAATGTTAAACACCATTTTTGTACATGGTATTGCAACTAATCTTATATGTGCTTCATTTTGATTTGGGATAAGTGTTTGAACTATGGCTCGGGATTTCCACTGTGGCGTGCTTCTATTGTGACATAACCATACGTATTTTTGTGGTACGACATAGTGGAAACGTGTGAGCGTAGTTGCAGCATATACCCTATATAATTTAAAAATCAGCTAGGAAACTAACTTCAAAGTGAAGCATTTTAGTCACTTGAAGGTGTCACCTGGGGCGAACTAATATATATTAAATATAGGTCAAAGTCAAAAACAACTTGAAACACGTTAAATTTTAGATTACATTCACAAGTGCAGGTACTTAATAAAGCATGGTAGGTAGATTAGAGATTTCAATTATTTATTAAATTAGACTAGAGATATCATAATCATCAAACGAACTTAAATAAGAAAATTTAGACAGCCTAGTAGCATTAAGTGGATTTCCAGAAGATTAGGATGCGGAGGGTGCGCTTAGGGAGGCAACTAGCCTTTAAAGCAACTGGCAACTAGCCTTTTCATGTATTGTCTGTTTATTTTGATTATTGGTTTAAAATATCAATTTGGTATATATGTGAAAGGATGAATCAGTGGGAGATGGATTTTCGGTTTCTTTACATTTAGCATCACTATGTGTCATTTCCTCAAAACCCCCCAATAACCGACCTCTTCAATCCCTTCCTTTTTCCCATGGCGTTCAAGTGGTCCGCATAGACTATTCAGCCATTACCCGTCCTTTATCCTCGGCTTTGGATTGACTTGCGCTCCCATTGCCCCACCAAACGCTGCAAAATGAAAATGAAAAATGAAATTGAACGTTTTAAAATTATGTACCTCGAAATTAACTTTCGATCTGATTTTTGGCGATCAATTTTCATCTCACCCACACTTTTGAGTGGATCTATGAACACTCTAGGTGCTCATCTGATGCTTTAACACATCCACACCAAGTAATAAGAGATCACCTTGAAAACTCTACAGGATGTTTTTTTTAAAGATTTCAGATTGATCAGGTATCATTCTAATTCTCTCTCATGAAACACGACAGCCTAGAAATTATTCCAATGTCCTTAATGTGTTTTAAGATCTCCATAAAGTTGTCTTGATATTTTTCAAGACTTCAGGTTGGGGGCGACTCCGGCGTAGTGGTTAACATCCATACCTCTTACGCCAAAGTCACGAGTTCAAATCTCACCCCCGGACAAGTCACGAATGACCCAAGAGTGTTAAAGCGACTATAAAAAAAAAAAGTTTCATCAATTTCTATTGCACTGAAGATCTCATCTGTTCATCAATTCAGATCACATGTCTCGGATATTCTCTCATGATGCAAGGTGTGTGTGTGTGTGTGTGTCATCCTCTATCCCTCACCCAGCCGGGGGCGTTGGACAAGTAGAACTGCGAATAATTTGATCAAATCTCATGCTCCGTAATGGTGCCCTTTATGTTGTGAAGACTAGTACTTCAAAAAGGGTAACTTTTGAGGCAAGACAGGGTGTCCTCAACAAGTTAAGGGAACAGGATGCACTAGATGTCCACAACAGGTACAGCAAAACATCACATAGACGCCCTTATTCACACTAACTACTCAGGGGGTAGAAGGTCAAGAAGATGATGCCCTGTGCGTATTTAGTATGTAATATGTTTTATTTGGATACACAAAATGTTTGAAGCCATGCGTCATCTAAACCATAATTTGCATCACCACAAATACACTTGTCAACAATCTTCAACTGGAACGTACTCACCAAATCACTTCATCCGGGAGCACATTCCCGATGCTTCCACGCATATTTTTCTCTCCACTCCAACCACACAACAACCAAATATCACTTTTCTTTTTCAAGACACTCCGTGCACAAAGCAATGCACATCGCAAAACCCTAACAATAGATCAGCGCCGTGCTCATCACCGCGTAAATAAACAGAAATTAAAATTTTCACTCGCGATACCGCAAATTTTTGGTCCGGGAGAAACAATCAAACCACGCAGCGCCAAATCTTCTGATGCTTGCAATTTTGCAAACATGCTGAATCATGTTTTCTTTCTTGATTCTAATGTCGTTTTCGTTTTTACGGTGTAGCACTGGTGTAGTGTAAGCAGGAATAAGCGCAAGTCTTTGACAGATCAACATCATTTGTTTGTAAACAAAGGTGCATCCTATATCTACACCCTAAAATATTTCGGTGTACGGCAGTGTAGCACCGGTGTAGCTACACCGCAAAAACGAAAACGACATAAAACTTCTCGGAAAGCGAGAAAACCACCACATACGTACGGGAGGCAGAGTGCCAGCGCTAATCCGGCAAATGCACCCGAAAACTATGAAAGAGAATGCACGCACAATACAGAGAGCAAATTTAGACACAACCGTATCCAAAGGCGTTCGAAACTCCGCTTTTTTTTCGGTTAGGCGCCTTCCTTACCTTGAAGACATGAAGTCCGGTCCGCTTCATTGTCTGCTGGACGAACCAGACCACGTCCCGAATCGAAAGGTTCGGATTGCGCTTTTCTTCCGCTGTCAGCTCGCCGCTGGGTCGTCTGGGTCTCTTTGAGCGATTCTAACACATGGGACCCGGTCGAATGGTCGATTCCAAACTGTTTCGCGATCCACCTGTTGGGACTGGCCTGGATTTTCCACGACCGCTTCCATTCAATTCTCTCATGATGCAAGGTGACTCCAAAAATATTCCACAGACCATCAGGTGATTACTGATCTCTGTTTTATAGGCGTTTGGATGATAAAGTTTTGTTTTGAAAATCTTCAACTATGCAACTATGAAATCATATGTTCAACGATGCAATGAGTCAGCTGGTATGGTCCTCACAGCTCAGGATGGTACGGTCACCTCACCTTTCTATATCACTTTGTTTATCTCCACCAAGCACAACTTGGCTCAAAATGGCTAAAATGCATCCATGATTGTTGTATTTACCCTATGCTTCTTGATTTTACTCCAGTACTACGGAAAAAAGATACGGCTCCGGATAATCAATCTATTTTCTCCAAATAATCGAGCCCCGGATAATCAATAACATGGGT